ATCTTCAAACTTGACCTAGAAATCATCAAAACAACCTTCCTGACAAATTTCCAGAATATTTGGATCAAAACTTCAGACATTAGAGTGTTAACAAGATTTTTTCTATTTTTAGCTCCTGTGACCTTGTTTTTCACCAGAGATGACACATCTTCCAACTTGACCTAGAAATCGTCAAAACAACTTTCCTGACAACCCAGAATATTTGGACAATAACTGCAGCCACTAGAGTGTTAACAAGCTTTTTTTCTATTTTTAGCTTCTGTGACTTAGTTTTTGACCGGAGATGACCAATCTTCAAACTTAACCTAGAAATCATGAAAACAACCTTCTTGACAAATTTCCAAAATATGCGAATCAAAACTGCAGCCATTAGAATGTTAACAAGCATTTTTCTATTTTTAGCTTCTGTGACTTAGTTTTTGACCGGAGATGATCCATCTTCAAACTTAACCTAGAAATCATGAAAACAACCTTCTTGACAAATTTCCAAAATATGCGAATCAAAACTGCAGCCACTAGAATGTTCACAAGCCGTTTTCTAATTTTAGCTTCTGTGACGTAGTTTTTGACCGGAGATGACCAATATTCAAACTTGACCTAGAAATTATCAAAACAACCTTCCTGACAAAATTTTAGAATATTTGGACCAACATTACAGCCACAAGAGTGTAAACAACCGTTTTTCTATTTTTAGCTTCTGTGACTTGGTTTTTGACCGGAGATGACCCATCTTCAAACTCATCCTAGAAATTATGAAAACATCATTCCTGACAGATTTCCAAAATATTTGGATCAAAACTGCAGCCGCTAGAGTGTTAACACGCTTTTTCTATTGTTAGCTCCTGTGACCTCGTTTATGACCCGAGATAACCAATCTTCGAATTCGATCTGTATTTCATTGAAACAAACATTCTGACAAAGTTTTATGATGATCCAATCAAAACTGTGACTGCTAGATTGTTAACAACCCAATAGTTGACGAAAAACGACATACGACGACGGACGACGGACATAGCCCCATCACTACACCTCACCTTGACCACTTCGTTGTCAGGAGAGCTTACAGCAATCATAACTAAACAGTCTCACAGCTTTAGCACAAATTGTTAGGACTGTAAGCATAAGCTGTTTTAAATTCTATCAGTTGTGACTAAATAACGTATCAACACGATTTTGGTGTATAAATTGGCGTGCGTGCCTCTACGGAAGTACTTAAACGCATGCACGCGCAAACATACATACATACATACATACAGATATAAAACATGTAAAAGACATAATAAAATGCTTACCAATACAACAATTTTAATAATGAAAAAATTTAATATTATTGTAATTGACTACAGTCAAAAGTCTGTAAAAAACATACACATACTCTAGAATATATCTCTTCAAAATACCTTGCATTTAATAAAAGTTGTGTGATATTTTATGGGATTGGTTGATTAACACATTAGAATGAAAAATATGTAACAAATGCTAAAGAAAGAGGAAAAACAATATTGTATATTTATGAACAATTACACCCAAATGTGCTAATATGCAATACTTATACTTTTCTTTTTCAGATATAGAATAGGGAAGAAAAATATGAATTATTAATAGTCATACAAAATGATAAAAAGTATTTAAATGAATACTGGTTAAATATTCAAGGTTAATTAAATGTGTTAAAACGACAATTTTCAATTTGATTTTTACACAATAGGTGCTTTACAAGTTTTCCAGATACCAAATAACATGTAAAAAATGGACAAACTAAAATATTTCCGTAAAGAAATGCAATACAGACTGAAAAGTTTGCTCGAAGAAATTCTGTTTTTTAAGTTTCATAATACCTTGATAATTATAGTCTATTTTCCCTCACATATATCTTAATATACAAGCTATCACAAATGCAAGGATACAACCATTTGTAAAACGGGAAATAGGGCCAGGGCAAAACCTTATTGTAATTGGATAAAAATGTAAAGATTTAAGGAGTAATTACATACCAAGGATCAGCCATAAATATGTCATTCTCTAGTTATAAATAACACCTTCTCTCAATTTTAAGACAGTAGGTCAAAACATTTTCTCAGTATTGGTCGAACAAGGTTTTAAACTCCAAGACAATGACCTTTGACCTGTATGGATAAACAATAGGGATCACATTTGTACATACATAACTCAAACACCAACGTGAAGGACTGTGAGACTGTGAACGTTCGTTATCTCTATCAATGAGTAATCAGGGCCATAGTGACTTTGAGCTGTCACCTTTCGACCTAAAATCAAAAGGCATAACACACATACTTACTTGATATCAGGATTTTAGGTCAAAGCGTTCTCTAGGTATTTGTCAGACAATCTTTTAGTGGTAGTTGCAATGGTGACCTTTATTGTTGACATTTAGACTTCAAATCTACTACAAATGTCTAAATTCCAAACCAAAACTTATGTCAGCAGGCCAAACTGTTCTTTAGTTATTTGTTGGACAAAGAATAGGTGACCTACATATGTGCGAAGGGACGGACGTTAAACCAAGGCCATAACTGTATGTTCCCATTTCATAAATGGAAGCATAAAGATACTGAACAAAAATACATACCTAGTCTAAACCTATTTGGACGTAAGTGTGAACAAAACAGAATTCTTTCACGTGAAGCTGAAATGTCTGAATCCATCAGTTGAAGCATTCTTTTAAAATCTTTCCTTTGAAGTGTTTCACGTGATCTACTGCTTGGCTTAACAGCTTTGGTACTAGAATCTGTATGTGAAATATATACATTAAAATATCATGTAAACAAGAGAACCGCATGCGGTGTTTACGCTTGTCTGCTAAAAAACACTTGAAGGGGACACATTAAAGTTTTGCGCGACGACAACGACGCCGTAGCGTTCATGATAGCTCGACTTGACGAGTTTATAATAAAATGAATAAATGGTAACTTTAGACTGTTCGATACTTTTGGTCTTAACAATCGTTCTAAGATATAACACATTTGTTGTGCGTTGGTGAGAAATGTTAATTGTTGTATTACATCATGTGCAAGAGTATACATGTACATGTATAATTATACTGTTCAAAAATGAATGCATCTAAGAACGTAAAATTTGATTTTTCATAGGCTTGGCTGACTTTTTCTATTTTTCCCCTTTCATAGTCTTTTAGTTATACTATAAATACACTGGAACATTACAGAACCAAGGTTCTTGCCCTGAACAACTTTTCGACTTGAAAGATATTTTTAACCTTTCGAAACAAAAAGAAGTCACCAGGGGCAAGGTAAGATGTATACGGAGGATACGGAGCACAACGACTGTTATGCTCCAGAAAGTCTTACACTATATATATTATATGTCTTGTGCCTATTCATGTTCATTATATGCATGACGCGTTGTCATGCAAAATTCCGACATTGACCGAACCTGTTGCGAATCTTCGTTTTCGAAAGTATTTGTTTAGTTTTCGAAGTACTTTTGCCTTTAAAATTGGCATTAACAGATTTGCCTCTAGGAACAGCAACCTGAATGGTGGGACCCTCAGCTGTAAAGATTATGACATACATTTACTTCAATATACGTATATCCGCCTTTTGAACCCATGTTTTATTTCAAGTGACATTATTTGCAAAAGGCCGTGCATTGTAATTTGGATACAGTTTAAGCAACAACCAAACGCATTGAACGCAACTTTTTTGTGCTCATCTGTCATCAAATAGGGAATCCATTCAGCACATAGTTCTCTCCTTTTCAAATAAGGTTTGAAAATGGTTTGAGCTGCTCCTAATATAATGCCTAAGGGTGTATCTTGCACTGGTATTTATTTCTTTTACTGAAGTAACAATCTTGACAGACGTTGCTTTTTAGGCTGAGGACATGACGTTCATTCCACTCGAAATTAACCCACATTTGAATTTAATTAACCAACGAATAATTTATGAAGAACACATTTCATTTCATCCATATACTAAACAGAATAGACGTGTCTTCACAATGTATTCAAAGAAGTCATCAAGTTTTGATACAAGACAGTATTTTTCAATGGCATACCATGAACTTCAACCAACCATTTTTGTATTGCAATATTAGTCGAAGAGTAGCCAATGTATAGCGAGCAATAAACATTACAGCCAAAGTGAACAGATTTTAATATATAAGCTAACGTGTATATCTACCCGATACCCTTTATTTCCTCATGTTTGTTGAATATTGAACAATATAACGCTCTAGATTCATTCAAATCTGAACACTCCTTGTTATACATGTATTTCCTTTTACTCTATCTTCAGAGAATTGATCGTTAATCCGTCATTGGAATGGCAGCTGCCCTCGAACAATCTAAGCTACTTTGTTGGAAAACATGTTTTCGTGGCAATGACCTTAACGTTTACTAAAACGTAACTTTTAATTCACTCCTCAGGATAAAAGAATCACAGAACATTTCCGAACATGCTAAAACGTACACATCAATATGACCTAGGTACTACATGCCTAAGAAAAGATATAGAAAATCTCCCAATTTTCAATACCCGCCACATAAAATTTCTTACGAGCCGTGACAAACCGATTTTGTTATACAATGTTGACAATATTTCTCAGCTATACAATAAAATTGTTAGACATGTAACAGTTCTAAACTTGTTTATAATTAGCAAATATAAGACAAGAAAGGCAGATATAGCTTTTTGCTTTTATCGATTTATTAACTACAAAAGTTTATTAACCATTTAAATTTCAAACTACAGAAATTGTTAGAGAATTTATAGCATCACCTGGACTTAATGATGTGGGTGACACTGGGGAACATGACGATATTCCCTCGTCATCGAAGTCATGTGTGTTAGCAATCTCACAAGTAAAGTCGTCCGATCCAGAGATAAATCCACTTTCAGAATCTTTAAGAGACCCTACACTTGCCGGACTAAAAATAAAGTTGACGTGATGATAAACTTGAAGGCATAAATAAAAACAAATTTTTGTTTAACTTTTGTTGTAATCTTAACTTCTATCAAATCTACATAACTGTATTGACCATATTCAAATCTCTACATTTGCATTAAATTCTTATTTAACACTTCATTTTAACAACACTTTATGAAAATAAAACCAAGCCAGTGACTTTTTCAGTTATGAAAATAAGGAAAATGTTAATGATTTTCAAGCAAGTATAAGGCTTGAGATTTCAATTGAGTAAAATGTGTTTCGATCTAAAAAAAAAAATCTAGAACCGATAGAAGCTGTGTCACAACTATTACATAAACATGTTATAAAAGCCTTTTTGATCTTGAATCAAATTAAATCAGCATTACTTATTATACATGACAGTTTAAGTTTGAACAATTTGTGATCGTTTGCAGTACCATAAATATTGTCAAGTATGCATATTTAGTTATTTAAGCTTAGCAAAGGACATTTACTATAAGGTTGAAAAAGGTGGTCCACCGGAAGCATAAAAATACATGCAAATTGCAGACTCGGTTTGATTGAGTCTGTACATAAGGAATTGTAAACACAGTGCAAAAATCCTCAAGCCCCCTAGCACCAGCTTGAGTGGTAATCAGTTCGTGCTAGATTCAATGATCCCGAAGGACAAGAAAAATATAACAACGATGAAGTGAAGGACGAGGCAACTTTTTACGCTGCCACCCAGCACTTGATACCTGCTGTTGTAATGTATAAATATCTGGAAAAGCGTGATCCATCGGTAGCATTTAAACAGCAAGATTAAATGAGAATTGCAGACTCTGTTTGATTGAATCTGTACATGAGGGATAATGAAAAAGTCCAACATCCCTCACATCCCGTAGCACCGACTTGAGCTATACTCAATTCTCAACACTTAAAAGTCCCGAATGACCAGAAAGATATAATCAAACTGAAGTGAAGTACGGGGCAACATTTTACGGCTGCCACACAGTACTTGACATAGCACTTGACAACTGCTGGGGAAAAGTGAATAAGCTTTTAAACCTACCATATCAAAGATTTGAGGATACTTGAAACCCATTTTTATGCAGAAATCTTCAAGGGTATTAAATGCCATAATTTCATTCACTAATCGTGTATAAAGTCATGTTATATACCTTTTTATTCCAGAGGTTTGAGCACTCGCATATTCATATCCTGTGGAGTGAGTTGAAAATGTAGGGAGAGTTGATTCGCCAGCTTTGTTTGAATTTACCCCTGATAAAACACGTTTATATGAAAGTAAAACAAGTCAATTCTGTAGATCACCACAATTTACAATCATATTATGTTATAATCAATTCATTTTAAAATGTAATAATTGTTATTTCTGCATTTCCGCATTACAACCACTACACATTCAAGAAATCAAGAGAGAGAAAAGGGTCTGCATCACACTGTTCAACAAGAGCCACCGCCGGGCGGGGGCAACGCTCGACTTTTTACTTTTTCTAAACGCAAACATAGAAAGGTTTGAACATATCTTAATGTTTCCTTTTTATAAATTTAGTTGGTCTGTCTTGTCACATAAGTTTTGTTTATATATTTTGTATATATATATGAATAGAAACATTAAGCAAATTTCTAAAAATAGCAACATTACGCAATTTCTTAAATTAGCAACATGACGCAATTTCTTAAAATAGCAACATGACGCAATTTCTAAAAATAGCAACAATGACGCAATTTCTAAAAATAGCAACAATGATGCAATTTCTAAAAATAGCAACAATGACGCAATTTCTAAAAATAGAAAAAATGACGCAATTTCTAAAATTAGCAACAATGACGCAATTTCTAAAATTAGCAACAATGATGCAATTTCTAAAAATAGCAACAATGACGCAATTTCTAAAAATAGAAAAAATGACAGAATTTCTGAAAATAGAAAAAATGACGCAATTTATAAAAATAGCAACAATGATGCAATTTCTAAAAATAGAAAAAATGACGCAATTTCTAAAAATAGCAACAATTTCTAAAAATTGCAAAAATGATGCAATTTCTTAAAATAGAAATAATGACGCAATTTCTATAAATAAAAATAATGACGCAATTTCTAAAAATAGAAAAAATGACACAATTTCTAAAAATAGAAACAATGACGCAATTTCTAAAAATAGCAACAATGACGCAATTTCTAAAAATAGAAACAATGACGCAATTTCTAAAACTGGAAAGAATGATGCAATTTCTATAAATAGAAAGAATGACGTAATTCTATAAATAGAAACAATGATCCAATTCTATAAATAGAAACAATGACACAATTCTATAAACAGAAACAATGACGCAATTCTAGTTGTTGTTGTTGTTGTTGTAAATATATATATATATAGACACACACACCAATAAATATATAATTATGGTCATTTAATGCACAAATCTGAGTAAATTCAGTAATTTAACCTTCAATGTCAAGGTCATTAAAGAGCCCAAGCAAATTTGGGTTTGATAAACAACAAGGTCTGGTCCTTAAGAATGTTCTCTGATAATATGAAGTTGATCCCTTCAATAATAACAAAGTTACAGTCAGTTACCGCCAAAACAATGAAAATTTCAATAATTTGACCTTCAAAGACAATGTCATTAATGAGTGAAGGTCAATGTCTTTCGGTATATTTTTAACAGTAATCTTTGAAGATTATTATGTTCAAGTTTCAAGACAATCCATTCAAAAATAACAAAGTTACAGCCAATAAAAGCCAAAAAATGAAAATTTCAATAATTTGACCTTCAAAGTCAAGGTCATTTATGAGTGAAGGTCAAGGTCTGGCTGGTTATTTTTAAGGGATATCCTTAAAGATTATTATGTTCAAGTTTGAAGACAATCCATTCAAAAATAACAAAGTTACAGCCAATAACAGCATGAACAAGCAAAAATTGGACTTTTAACCTTGAAGGTCAAGGTCATTTATGGATGAAGGTCAAGGTTAGTGTGGTCTACTGAAAGGTCTTGTCCCAAGGGTTGTTGTGGCCAAGTATGAAGACAATACACCAAGAAATAAAAAAGTTATGATCCAGGTACAAGTTTGCGGACGGCAACGGCAACGGCAACGCCGACCTGACTATAACAATACCTCTACTTTTTTTTTTTTCAAAAAAAAAAAGTCAAGCTAAAAAACGTTTTCTGCATATGCCACATTATTGCAATCTACCATCATTTGTTAAATATGCCTAACTTATCATAGACCTGATGCACCAAAAAACTGATATCACTTAAGCTAGTTAAAGAATGTATAAAGATAGTTTTAATATGTAAATATTTCATCTTATCAATTGCATAAATTTTTTAATCAATTTACATGAGTCTTTGGATAAAATAAACGATTAATACAGCTTTACATGGTTCAAATGAAATACAGAGGAATTAGTTTTGTAATTCAGTTGCGTTTTTTCAAATTTAGAATACATGTACAGATAATTGTAAAGTAGTTGAAAACTTGCTGATAAATAGCAACTACTTACAACATGTAGGAACCTCGTCAGAACAAAGTTTCGTTGGTAAATCAAACACACTTTTGTAGATTTTTCTTTTCGGACGTTTTATGCTATGAATGCGTGGGCACACATACTGCTTTGCGAGAGATCCTATATATAACATAGTAATAAGATATGAAGCAATATGGATTATATATAATTCTCTTTATCGGCCGAATGCCGTTTTTTATCAATCTGACTTCCTGTGAAACCTACAGAGAAGGAATGAACATAAATAGTATTATCATTAGTCATTTCAAATTAACAAACATTTGGTATTTGATATATTTATTCCACTGGCACCGTCAACGAGATACCAAAAATAAGCCAGCGAAGAGTGACGACATTGTGTCACAACCTCTACAACACATTGCAAATCCATCTCGTCCACTCGCACGGAAGGGCAAGAATCATTTCAGGGCGCTAAATCCGATGGTCCAATTATCCATTTTTTGCCAAAGTGCTGTTTATTAAAAGTGTAATTCATTAATATATTAACAACTCATTTTCTTTAACAGACATGTGCAAATATAGTTTTTAACAATTTTTAAATATTTTCAATTGCCAAGTAAATCTTTTATAAAGTACATAAATGATAAACATTTGATGGAATCTGTCACAATAGGGACTACGATGGGATACCAGGCCGACCACAATTGCTATCTAAAACAACCAACAACTCAGAACAGAAAATATATACAAATTTATTTACAAGAAATGAATATTTATAAATGAAAAATGATTATAGATGAAAAGTCACTGCGTAAACAAACACTATCAACGTATCTCAGTCTATTTCTCCAAACACTATCAACGTAAAGTTTCTGTCATGATGTTTCAATAAAGTGGTGGCGTTGTTGAACAAAATTCGTCACAATGGCGGGCGTCTTGTATAAAATCTTATCAAGCGTAACTGTACTTCCTACAGTGTTGGCACAGTTGATAGGATCCTGAACAAGGGCATGCGTCACCCTTTAGCCATGGACATACGTGTGGAGGGCCCGTGTCATCTTCGGGTGTGTCCTCAAATAAGAAGCTACAAAGTATAAAACATGGTAAGTTCCATGATAATCAAACATAAGGGTATAATAAAGTCCCTTGGAAAAGACTCGACCTTTGTCGGTTTCCAATAAAATAACGTGCTTCTTTGAATAAACAAAATGTCCACTATAGTACACCATACATTCCGTGGAACAAAAATTCAATCACATCCGCATAATACTGCGTTGCAAATATATTCAAATATACGCCACATAATAACCACCAATAAATAAACGTCTTCCAAAATCATGCCACTGAAGATCCTTCTCTAGAGATACGTTGTATTTACTTATAACAAAAACTGATGATAAATGAAATGAAGTAAGATGATAACGTAAATTAAATTGATTGAAACAAATCATTACGATACTGCAGCATTTTACATAAAGTTACAAAAATACGGTAGAACCATAATAAATTATTTATGAATAGATATATATATATATATAAAATATTCATAGCTCCTATACAATTACAATATAATTAAAACTTCAATAAACATACATCAATTAACATGTCTCGGTATAAATTTGCAAAAGCGAAACACTAGAATAAAAAGAGCTTTTAAAATTTAATCTGCAAAAATTTAGAAAATTTAGAAAACAATAAATTACTGCCAAATAACTAAACCTGAATCAAATAACTATAATTCTAATAGAAAATAGTATTTTACGAAATAGCAAACATTTATGAAACAAAATCACTAGAAATAAAATTTACCTTGTACAAGCTGTAATTTTATGACAAAATATGATTTGTCTGTCACCGTCATAGGTGACCTGTATAACGTCCAGTGCATTGCAATATATCACTTAAAATTTAGTCATTATATAGCAAACTACTGCGTACTGAGCGGGAAAACGGATCGTGCAAAACATGAAAAATCGATTTGCACGAAATAAAGCTGGGACGGCGGGAAAAATAGTTATGTAAAATAAAGGCCCTTCCTTCAAATACAGACATAATACATATATTTGGTTCATAAAACAAAAATGTAACTTTCTTATTACTGAAAGGATTTTTGTGAAATAAACGGCAAAATGTTTAAATTGATACATGGAAATTTATTCAAACCATAAAAATACTCTAAATAATAATTTCACCCGAAAACTCTAAATTGAACAAAAGATGATGCAATCTCACATCAATGGATATAGAGTAAAAATGAGGTTCGGCGTGAAAATATAATGCAAGATTTTACAAACGTACTTTCACTTTGTGACAGAATCCTTTTAAATTTATTTCCGTGATAACCCCTCACAATACAGGCGTGCGTTTTCAAAATCCTTTTGTATATATAATTTAAGCCTAGCATTATTTATCGCTTCGAAAAGAGCAGGAAACAAACTCCCAATAATTTGTTTTGCAAATTGTAAGAATAGTCGCACAACGGACATTGTCGTCGATTATACTAAGCTTACGATAGTTAGACAAGAAAATGAATGTTACAAATGGATATAAACTGTTAAATCTGTTCTATAGTTTTGTGTTTTGGTCAAAACCCACACTCATAACCTAAATGAAAAGTTTTCGGTTTCAAATGAATACATAATGTGCGAAACGAATAGAAATTGTTAACAAAGGAAACTACTTTTTAAAAAAATTTAAGGACCTACAATTACGACATTAAAAATATGTGTGAAGTTTCAAGTCAATACCTTTTGAGATCAAACACACACACCAAAAAAACTTTTATTTAAAAGTATCTTATTCACAAACCTCAAGAAAAATATTCTTCTGTTTGCTGTTTTTAATATTATAAACATAGCACAGACTTGAGAACAAAATTCAACAAATATCTGCGAGTACGCAATGCAAAATTGTTGCATAATGAAAAAAACGTAGATTTTCCTTTGCAATTTGTTAACATGCTAGTTTTCCAGATGAAGAATATAACATTTCCATACCTGCTTTAATTTGCCTGTAGATGTGCTCATATCCACCTTGGCGTAATGCAGTCATGAAATCGCCTATAGTGTCTGCTGTTAGTCGATTTAATATGAACTGTGCTCTTGATTTCCTGCTCTGAATATCTTTAAAGTCATTAAAACCGAGGTCAGTGATGGTTTCATCCCTCAAATATTTTGTAAGTCTGATTGGGTCTATCTCTTCAACAACAGTATCATTCATCAATTTGATAGCTAAAACATCTAAAATATAAATAACATTTTAACTGACAAAAATCAACTAGGTTTACACCACATTATATTTATGAAACATTTTGAAACAAATTATAATTAATGTCAAATATCAATTTGTAACTATTTGGTTTCATTTCAAGTAGAATAACAACGTTACAAACACAATAGATAACATATACACTTTTGACTTTACAAATAATGCAACAAAAGATAATTCATAACTATAACCGATCATGTTCATTCCTATGAACATAAAATATCTTAACCAACATATTGTATAATAAATAGTTGTTTTATATAGCTTTCATTTCCCATATGAAGTGTCGATTGTTCTTCTTGCCATCTTTTTCAAAGGGATTAGAAGTACTTTGTTTTCAAAAAATGACTGCTACATATTTGTCATAAATCTAAGATAAGCATTAAACGCTTGAATGAAATGAAGACGGTTCTAAAAAGGCAACTACGGTTTAAATTGAGCCAATAAATCCTGTCCATTTGTTCATGTGTTTTTTAATTTTGAAAATAATAATATGAAAGAACCTTTTTCAGACTGCTCGGAAGAGCGTCTTGAAGTTGTCATAGTTTCCCAGACATATGGATGCCTTATCTTGACCTCCTCCCAAAACCAACCAAGGTCTTCTTCGCATAGTAAAAATGTCATAAATTGTTCCATACGAGATCTGCGAGATGAACACTTGTTAATCTTTGAAAGGATTTTTTCAGATTTTTCATTCATCCATGAGCGAATGATTGGAAGAAATGTACGAAGTTCCAGTTCATTTTTAAGATATTCTTCGTGTATTTTGATGTCGTTTCCGTCAAATTCTATATTTCTGTCCAATGTTTCTAATGAAAAGAAATAAAAGGTTTTTTACATAATGATCAAAGTATGTAAACACATGAATGCATTCGAAGTACATCGTTCATATTCTTTCGGTATATCTAAGATAAATAAAGGATATTATGTCATTCAGCATACAATGACACACACATTATGTTATAAGCATTTAATAGTAAGATTATATGCAGATATTCGGAAGGAAACAGAGACACAAGACAGAAATTAGACCGAATTATCGTCATTAGAGATCAAAATCAGATTACAACAGTCATTCGATATTCAATCCACATTTTGAGTCAATGAAATAAAAAAGATTTTGTATACACTTCATTTAAATATAAATTTAAATATAAATGAGTGTAAGGAAATTTATAATGTAATCGTTTGTCAAGATTTGTAATGATTAATTCCGATCCTAACAGATCTATAGATCTAGTAAAAAATCAATTAAAACAATAGCCTGAAACCAGAACCCGATGTAAATGCAAATTCAGTGTTACATATTTTTTGCTTCTATCAGCATATGAATTTATTTGATAATTCACAAAAAAATGATTAAAACCTACCCACTAATAGTTCTTCAACACTATGTGCTTCCTTTTTAATATGTTCTTCAAGTAAACAGTACCATACTTGTGGTACATCGTCTTTGATTAAACAGTCTAGTAAAGTTGCGCATTTATCTTCGCTTTTTTCTATTCGAGACAACAAATGGGGCGGCGAATCACTAAACGAGCTCATTTGTTCGAATAGCGTGCTAACATCTGTTATCATTCCAGTGACTGTATCTTTATTTTTCCTAATGTTCTGTTGATTCAACTGACATATGCAATCTACAAGCAGCGAAAACGTGTCAGTACATGATATACATATATATGTATATATATAATTCATGGATTGATTTGTTGAAGCCAATAGGTTTAAACTAAAACAATTCTTTTTTCAATAGATTGAGGTTTTTATAGCAAATAATACCGCCTGGCCTAATAAAGAATACATTGGTTAACCTCCTCTCAACCATAGAAAGAAAGTAAGCAGTTTTACACTAGTCATTAAATCATTGCTATTTCTTTAGTACGAAATTTGAATATGAAAGGATCTTTATAATACTACAGTTTCTGAAAAAAACGTTAATCTCCAAAACAAAACAACGTGTTTACCTTGTCCCAATAAAAGATTGCCCAAGTTGCCTTCAGTATTTACAGTTACCAATACTTGCAATTTGGTGACACCTAGAAGAATTAGACGACGTTTATCCTTTTCTTCTAAAATGGAGAGTAACCAATCAACTGCCTTTCCCTGCTGAACCAAGCTAACGATTTTGCCAAGAGAATTTTCATCTCGAGTCAATAACTGGATGACAATAGAAGAAATTTTAAGCCCTTCAAACAAGCTTCTACACTCCTCCACCAAATCATTCATGATAACGTCATTTTTATGTCCTTTCCTTTTGAAATTTTGAACTGATCTATTCTCAATTGCGCGCAACTCTTGTTCCATTCCATTACACTTCAGGTTCAATTTAATGTTTACAGCTGCTCCACCTGTCTGCTGTACAATAGATCTTTCTGCAAAATATAGGTAAAGGTAAAACAATTTGCATAACGCAATTTATCAACATGCAACGCAAAAGCCTATTTCAATGATAAATAATTGTAAACAGCAGGTGCATAAAAATACAATTACATACATATTAACTCTAATTAAATATGGCATAGCCAATTGTGGAAAATATTTTTTATAGACAAATTAATGATCCGGCGATATTGTTCGTTTTCGTGAGTAATAATACCATTTCAGATGTTATATTCAATGTATACATTTATTTAGTGTTAATTTTGTTTAAAAACAATAAAAATAGTTTCAATAGTAAGATTTTGACACTAATTAATTTTGTCTACAAATATATACATGTCTATAGCTCAAATTTAAATTCAATGCAAATAATTTCCTTTTCCAAATACGTACTTATGTACAGATTAAACAAAAGTCTGATATAAAATAGTGAGGGGCCATAACACAATAATGCATTATCAAAGTGTTATAGTATTAGATGAGCATCTTTTTCGTATTATGATATAACGTTTTGCTGAATATCATTACTTTTCAATCAACCAATTTAAAAATGTTGATCTTTAGTGGATGCTTTTGTAAAGCAAACGTCTTTTATAACTAACAAATGTCCATAACTAAAAAAACAATTGGTGCATATTGATATTTTGTGAGCTCCGAATTTCAAAACATATTTAACAAACACAAAATTTTAAGATATGGGTCCGGGCGGGCAGACGGTAAGATTGCATCTCCTTTTTCTATTTTATCGGCGGTGGATAAAAATATTAGAAATTCTAAATGTTATAATTTTCCTATACCTCCCTAAAAGTGTCCGGCATTAAATGAGCTCTGATACAGATTAATTTATATCTGTTAACATGTATTATGTTGTGTTGTTTTAAATGTAATTCCACAGGTTAAGCTTACCATCATTATTCTCCACGTCTCTGAAAAGTTTAGGATACGCTTTTTCTACGGTTTTTATGATTTTCGCAGATTTTCGTTTGGATGACTTTACCAATTTCCTTACAAATTTAACCCTCTTCTTTCTAAGATCCAACCTTGTCACATCTTCGTGGTCACGAAATGACATAGATTTATTCTCAATCAGATCATCTATAAAATCTCTGGGTTCAATAGTGTCATCTTCGTTTAGTTTTCGTAAGAACTGATTTGATTTCGATGCACTATATTTTTCCTCTGAAAGAGAAAACTTCTATTCATAACTGTAATAAAATATTTTATGGGGTAGAATAAGTTAATAGACTAAAAAATAAACTGTTTCCAAGAGAATACAATTTAGTTGTACAGCAGTGAAGTCATAAACATATAACAAATTCTTGGGCGACTATTTTGTTTCACATAAAAATAGCTTTAGACAACCAGTTTTGCAAAGGCAAAAAAAAAACAAAAACAAAAACAAACGAAGTACTTTAAAATACAATGACAATATTAATGAAAAGTCGAAAAAGTAGGAGTGAAAATAAGTAGAGAGCACAGTTAACCAAATTTATATCATATTGAGTAAAAGCATCCCCTAACAAAAAGTAACACATGACCACCGGCAGGAAGCCTAGAAGGGCAAACAACAGTAATAGAAGGACAGAGTAGAGCACTTTAAAGAAAAATGAGACAGATAAAACATTAAAATACACTGCTTTTGAACAGGCAACAGCAAGAATACTACAAAACAATTATGGGTTAGTTATAACTTTAAAACCTTTCAATGAATGACAAGGTTATTCTCCTGAAACCTAACAAAAATTAACTTAATTCATTACTGAAGGTATGTTTTCGAAGCTATTTTGATGACTTTGGAACTATCTTTCAACTATACATTCCCCTTTTCTAAAAACTATCGTAAGTAACAAGATTCAAATAATATATACATGCAATAAGTTGGCTTAGTTTGCTATAAAAATACTTATGCTTTGAAATAAAAAGAAGATCTAAGTAAACAAACCTGAATATACAGAAGAGGAGTGATTCTTTAAATGGTCAATTAAATAGCTCTGCTCTGTTTGAATAAGAGAAGTAGTAAATTGGTGAAGTACTTCGCTATCTTTATTTATGGCAATATAGTAAATTTCTTTGATCAGCAAATCGTTGCGGCGCATTCTACTTGGTGTTGTCTTGCAGTTTTCTAAAAATTCATCTGTAAAAACCTCATACTGGTGCAAGATATCAATCAATTCCCGAGATTCCATCTCACTTTTTAGGTATTTGTAATTGATTTGTAGCATTTCTGCAGTAATAAGCTGAAATTTGTAGGGCAGACATAAGAATGTTTTTCCATCGCAATTATTTCAATTATTCATGTCATACACTTTGATTATTTATGTTTCATGCCATGAATCTTGTATTGATTGAAACATTCCATCTCAAGCATGTTAACTTTTATTTGCATTCCTGTATCAATTTTATAGATTGACACTGTGTTATTTAGGTAATTTCTTGTAAGAAATAAGTTTGCTCATTAACTGAACATATTGGTTATTGATAATCGCACTACGTATCAATACATAAATGTTCAAGGAAGAGGGACTGATACGGTTTTCTTTGTTTTTTTTGTACAATTTCTTATTGAAATGCAATCTCTTTTGACTTTATAGACGCTAAAATGTAATAAACTTCGAATTGCTCAATCGTCTTACAGATGACAAGTGCAAAACCTTATGTTCAACAAAATCAGGTATAACGAAAATTGTACCTTCGGTTCTTCCTCAATCTCGAGAATATCCTCGTTTGATGACATATCAGTTTCATCTATAATAATAATTCAATGATTACAAAAACTGTACATAAGTACATGCATTTTGTCTTACTCTACGAGTAAATAGTCACAAAAATTAATGCCAAAACGTCCATACATATCAACCAGGTTATGTTTAAACAACATGCATTAAATGAGTACTATAATTATTGACATTTATAGTCCCATGTATTTTTACAAAACAACTTAACACATGAATAAAAAAAACTTGCAAACTATGTTTATTGAAATACCTATTTATTTCCACGCCTTTTAGAGAATTAATGAGTCTTTAAAATAAGAAGGAAAACGTGTTCATAACTATAGCAAAACATACAACAAAAATATAAAGACAAAACTACTTACCCCCTCTTAATGACTGATATGAAAATGAACAGTATGCCTCATCACCTGTAACAAAATTATCTTGCCTTCATTTAAGTTTATGACAGTAATATGATATTAATTGTTGATATTATTGTTGTAAAAAATATTATTTTTAAGCATAGTAAGTATATAGTTAAGATATATCATTGTCTTGCTAAACAAGTTTATAGGTAAAAAATTCGAATACCGGATAACATATCCGGAGTGTCTTTGTTTTTCATATACTTAAAAGAAACTGTGGAGTGAGTTGAGAAATAGCCTCTAAGCCTGACATCGTTTTAAATGGTTTTATGTTATATTTAGTGACGATATGTAAACTAGACTATGCGATTTGTCTTGTACGGTAAGTTTTGTCTCCATTTCAATGTTGTTTTATTTTGTTTTGTTTTTTTGAGGCCCCATCTGGGTAACCCCGTTTATTTACCCCGTAATAGCTATGAGGGGGTCGGGGGTCATCCTCCATCATACCTTACATTGTTAATATACAATATATATATATTGCAAAATAATTATATTAATGTAAATATTGTCAAATACATCTACTGTATATACTTTGTATATAAATATAAACATAATTTATATACATAAATACAATAAACCCATCTATTTTCCAATAATGTTTTACCAATAAAAAAATACTACTTATTATCAAACAATTAAATAATTTGTTACGAGGTAAAGTTCTTTTTCACATATTAAGTGTAGTTTATACAATTAAGGATCTTATAATTGACCATCTATTATTTTCATCATCTGTCAAATTTGTATTTCTATAGATTTTCCATGCTAATTTCAAACTATTTTTAAAACCAATACATGTAGGTAAAAAGTGTTTTCTCTTAGACAAATAAATAAATATATCTTTTCAATTCTAGAAACAATATGTCATATTTAAAATCTTAAGTTTCTGTAACTAATATGAATGATTTACAACATAAAACATAATCAAAATTATGTAAGTTTTCTCTAAGGTATTGAAATAGGCTTTGAATTTTCTGACATTCCCAAAATAAATGTAAAAGTGTTTCTTTACAGCATTTACAAAATGTACACATTTTATTGTCAACAATTTTCATTTTAAACAACATTGAGTTTGTAGCTAAAGTTCTATGAATAATTCTTGTTTGGAACCAATGAATATATGAATCTTTAGAAAACACAACTATATATTAACTGCCATTAATTTTATTGTCTCCATTTCAATGTTTTGATCTACTCCCGTTTCTTAGTTTATTTACGCCTGACTATCCCTTTCCACCATTAAGATTTGTAGTATCTCTTTTAGGATGATCGCAGCTTAAAATTCAAGTTTAATTAACCAATTAGAGTGTATTTATTAAATCACACAAGTCCCTCCAGAAGCTTTTACATAGTGTTTAATTTCGTAACGCAAGAATGTAAAAACAACAGAGGAATTGTACAACAGTAACGCAGAATCTGTGCAATATATATCAGAAAAGAGCAACATGTAAAAAGACAAATATGATTATTTTATAGTAAACCTTTATAAAAATAAATTCGTGCATTAGTTGAATTAACTACGACATTATATGTAATTCAAAATATTTGAAGGAAAAATATATTTCGTATGAAAGATGAAAAAAATAGATATTTTAATGATAGAAATTATCCTAAATCTATTATTGAGAAAGCGTTTTCTAAAATTGAAGGCATGTCCCAAAATGAAGCTCTTAGTCCTGTCGTTAAAAGTACTAGTTCAATAATACCTTTTACTGTATGTTTTAATACATCTCTGCCTAAAATCTTAAATAAATATTGGGATCTATTATTTTTGTCTTATAAGGAAAGTGTTAAAAATATACATACCAAGTTCAAACCTATTTTAGCTTATAGACGTCCTAAAAATATTCGAGATTATCTTATGAGAAGTGCTTTACTTGATTGCACATTTTTTATCTAGCCAATGTTTCCGAACTAGATGTTCACATTGTAAAAATAGAATTGTTGGTAGCAGCATTACAGGTCGTTCTTTTGATTAACACAATGATGTTAACTGTACTACGCGTAATGTAATTTACCTTATTACATGTAAAGGTTGTAATAAGCAATACGTAAGTCAAACTAATTCGAACTTAACCTTGAAATCATCAAAATAACCTTCTTACATTTGGATCAAAACTGCAGCCACTAGAGTATAAACAAGCTTTTTTCTACTTGTAGCTTCTGTGACCTATTTTTTGACCGGAGATGACCCATATTCAAATATGACTTGAAATCATGAAAACAACCTTCCTGACAAATTTCCAGAATATTAAGATTAAAACTGCAGCCACTCAAGTGTTAGCAAGATTTTTTCATTTTTAGCTCGTATAACCTAGTTTTTGACAAGAGATGACCCATATTCAAACTTGATCTAGAAATCATCAAAATAACCTTCCTGACAAATTTTCCGAATATTTGGATCAAAATTGCAGCCACTAGAGTGTTAAAAACATTTTTCCTTTTTTAGCTCTAGTGACATAGTATTTGACCGGACATGGCCCATATTTGAACTCGACCTAGATATTATCAAAGCAATTTTCCTGACAAGTTTCAAGAACATTTAAATCAAAACTGCAGCCACAAGACTGATAACAAGATTTTTCTATTTTTAGCTCCTGTGACCTAGTTTTTGACCGGAGATTACCCATATTCGAAATTGACATAGAAATTATCAAAACAATCAAATTTCCAGGAAATTTGGATTAAAGCTGCAGTCACTAGAGTGTTAAAAAACTTTTCTTTTTTTAGCCGCTGTGACATTGTTTTTGAATAGAGATTATCCATCTTTTAACCTGACCTTGAAATCATCAAGACAACCTTCCTGACAGTGTTCCAGAATATTTGGATCAAAATTGCAGCCACTTAAGTGTTGGCAAGCTTTTGCTATTTTTAGCCCCTGTGACCTAGTTTTTGACCGGAGATGACTTATATTCGAACTTTATTTAGAAAACATCAAAATAATCTTCCTGACAAGTTTCCAGAATATTTGGATCAAAACTGCAGCCACTAGAGTGTTAACAAGCTTTTTTTCTATTTTTAGCTCCTGTGACCTAGTTTTTGACCAAAGATGACCCATATTCGAAATTTACCTAGAAAACATCAAAACAATCTTCCTGACAAATTTCCAGAATAGTTGGATCAAAACTGCAGCCACTAGACTGATAACAAGCTTTTTCTATTTTTAGCTCCTCTGACCTAGCTTTTGACCGGAGATGACCAATCTTCAAACTTGATTTAGAATTCATCAAAACAACCTTCCTGACAATTTTTCAGAATACTTGGATCAAACCTGCAGCCACTAGAGTGACCTAGTTTTTGACCCGAGACGACCCATCTTCGAATTCGATCTGTATTTCATTGAGATAAACATTCGGACAAAGTTTGATGCTGATCCAATCAAAACTGTGACTGCTAGACTGTTAACAACCCAATTGTTGACGATGCACGACGCCGGACATAACCCACATTGACCACTTCGTGGTCAGGTGAGCTAAAAATACATGTATATAAATTTCATTTGGGTGTTCTATTAAAATGTTGCTTGATAAAAAATTGCTGACAAATTTCTAAACATTTATATGAGGAATAGCAATATTTTGTCCAATAAAATATCAAACTGAACAGCTTGCAGAGCAAATCGACACAGAAATAAAAACAATTGTGATCTAGAAAAGTCCATAACTTCAAAAAAAATGTTTTCTATTCGTACGTGGGGAAAACAAAATGTGGTTTAGAGAAGACCGTGTGTTTAACACATATAACTTTCTTATCAAATGTTTACTGTTAATAGATTATTTGTTTTTACCATTTATTTGTTACACTTAGTATGATGTTGAAAGAGACTTACCGCTAAAACTGTCTTGTTTCTTGTTTGGTGGTTGGTCAAACTCTTGGCTGTATAATAGACAACATAATTTATTACCAAAATTGTCAATTTCATTGCTCTACTCATTACTTAAAATATTCTTTCAAATATCTAGTAAAACATATCATTATATGAAATACTGAAAAAAAAATTAAATCTTTGTTTTGTTATATAATAATTTGCCTTGCAATTCAGTGTTGTAATATTTCTGGTCCTTCGGGACCATTGCTTTTAACACCTTTGTTGTAAATTGAGTACCGCTCAAGTCGGTGCTAGGGGCGTCAGGGATGTTGCACCTTTTCATAATCCCTCATGTACAAACTCGTAATTTTCATGTAATTTTGTTATGATTAATGCTTCCGAGGAATCAACTTTTGTCCAGATTTTTATAAATACATCATTCGTTCAAATAGGTTCAATTTACTTCTTATCAAAAGAACATCGATACTGTTATCTTTAAGGTATAACCACCCTGATGGGCACTATAAGAAACTGAAAAATGAACGGCATATGTCACTTTAATACCTTAACAGACACCTGTATGCAAAGTTTAAACGGAATTTATCGTATGGTTTATGAGTTATGGACACTTTTTAACTTAAACTTTGACATTAGAAAAAAGGAAATGCTAGACATTTCCTATTGATTATTGTTAAGAAACATATAACAAACATTCAGCTAACAAACCATACAAGCAGAATCATTATTTTTCATCAAAATATCTTGAATATGTATATAAATGTTATTCTAACCCATCCATTTTTAACAATTGTTTGAACATGCTCCTGCCTAAAGAGTCTCATTCAAAATATTTGTAAAATCCACTCAATCGAAGGGCTTTTCAGTTTGCCTTAATTTTTTCGAAAGTATTTAGTTTGATCTTCTGAAATAGAAAAATACTTTTACCGTGTAGTTCTGATTTTATTAGACTCTGAAAATACCATATTTGTTATCAATTGAATCATTATTTAGACACTAAATACATATAATAATGATTTCGGGAATGCACTTGGTTGCATTTCAGTAATATTTTGGACTTAACATTATTAACAATATTCCTCGTTAATGTACTCAACAAAACACAGCATATCTTTATCAATAATGTATATGCATAAAATGTACCTGTCCTTTGATTTCCGCTTCCCTACCACTGGCTCAGTCATCTCGTATAGACTAGAATACATTTGTTCTTGTCACTGTGTACTGAAGATGTAAAGATATAGTTGCTGTAAGTGCGTGAAAGAGACCAAATAACTCTCAACAATACTAAATGCCTTATGGGCTCCTTTAGAAAAGTTGGGTTAACGGAAATGTTTTTATCAATTTAACTTTTAAAGACGAAATGTTTGTAATCAAGGTGGAATATAAAGATAGTAAATTATCTATATTATGTGATGAAGACAAAGAAAAATATCCTTGTAAAGTGCACATTGTTTTATGGTATATTAATAACTCACTACACAAAATGATTGGCAAAAGAACGGCAAATGTGATTACATTATGGGCTTATATAAAAGGTAAGCTGCTGCTCGTTATAAAATATTCACACATTCATCGAGAAGTTTACATTTATAGTAATTTCTAAAGACCTGTTAAGTATTATGTTTATCAAAAGCGTTGTCCATATGTAGAAACAGCATAAAATCTTTCATAATGTTATATTTTAACTTTATGATATGAACCAATAATAGTAATTACGTATAGTACTATTCTTATATTAGAAGCAAAGAAGTTTGCCAAAACACCGAGATGAGCTTCCAAATTTCTTTTTATTATCTGACGGAATCGAATGACTATGACATAATTCAAGAGTGTGGATTAAAAGAGCACTAAAGAACGTATTGTTTCCAAAACTGCCATTCATAAGGTATAAAACAAGAGCTGTCGGTAGGACAGCAACGCTCGACCATTCTTAGTGCTTGATAGTAAAAAAGTAAAAAAAATGCTTGATACAGTTACCTCCTCCTGTTTACAGGATGGGGTAATGATGGTGAACAAGTGTGCAAAGTTTCAAAGCCATATGTCAATGAACTTTGAAAATATTTGAGGTATTACAAAAACTTTAACATAAATTCTAAGTCGAAAAAGGGGCATAATTCTGTCAAAATGCTTGATAGAGTTACCTCCTCCTGTGTACAAGTTGGGGTCATGATGGTGAACAAGTGTGCAAAGTTTCAAAGCCATATGTCAATGGACTTGAAAAATATTTAAGGTATTACAAAAACTTTAACATAAATTCTAAGTCGAAAAAGGGGCATAATTCTGTCAAAATCCTTGATAGAGTTACCTCCTCCTGTCTACAGGTTGGGGTCATGATGGTGAACAAGTGTGCAAAGTTTCAAAGCCATATGTCAATGGACTTGGAAAATATTTGAGGTATTACAAAAACTTTAACATAAATTCTAAGTCGAAAAAGGGGCATAATTCTGTCAAAATGCTTGATAGAGTTACCTCCTCCTGTCTACAGGTTGGGGTCATGACAGTGAACAAGTGTACAAAGTTTCAAAGCCATATGTCAATGGACTTTGAAAATATTTGAACTATTACAAAAACTTTAACATAAGTGGTTACGCCGACGCAGACGCCGACGCTCGGGTGACTGCAATAGCTCTACTTATTCTTATCGAATAGTCGAGCTAAACATTATTTTACAAAATTAACAGAAAAGAAAACTTATTTTAACATACACACTTGTGTAATCATCGTCTTTAAACATATCATATATTATTTCATTATCTTAAATTACTATTTGTTTTGATAAATTGAATAACATGGAGATTTATTTCTAATCGAAACATCCTCGATAATTATCCATAATCATCTCTGACTTAGTACGTATCATCATTAATATTTTCAACAGGAGTAAACTTCTATAACAGACCTTTTAATATTTGATTTGTTGTTGTGTTGTTGAAATGTTATGATGTAATTACAATAAATTTATGAAATAAATTTGTAAAATATTAGTCTTTGCAATCTAATTATTGCTTCATTTGTAATATGCAGTTAATCTGCATACCTGAATGAATGTATATACCTTATAAGTACTCTTCCAATCAAATCGCATTACATATCATTTATACAAAATAGTATCCAAATTGAAAGAAATTGACATGGATAGTATTTAGTAGTCCCTTCGATCTAGATATAAAAAACTGTAACGGTTGTAATTTTTCTCTTAACATCATTTAAGTAGTGTTTGATGTGATTTTAAGACATTAATTGTTTTTTACTGCTAATATAATCACTGAACATAATAATAGAATAATAAATAATCTGATTATCAATTTGGTAAGCAAAATGGGCGTTCTACAGTAGATGCTATTTTTTATCTTACTGCATTTAATTCGGAAACATTAGAATAAACGATTATTTTTTCTTTGCATGATGATATGCTTTGATGATATTTGCAGGATTGCATTGCGGATTAAATGATGAATACCTAGTCATGGTAGAAGGTTACTTTATTAGTTACTACTATAACAATTTTACCATAAAAGTGTTAGATGATGCTTGTTGGCTCTATCTTAGACATTAGGGTATGGATCTTAAATTTAGGGTAACACAAAATCTAAGTAAATAGAAATAATTAATTTTAATTTTAAGATATCCGTTTTGTGTGTCTCGTTATATCAGAATTATTAGAACTTGAAAAAAACTCCGATAATTTGTGACTTAAATTCTCTATATTCATTAGAAAAACAACAAAACTGTTAAAATTATCTTTGATATCTAAATTTACATTTTCAAAAGAGGTATTTGAAAATTAAAGAGCCATTAAAGCTTGGCCAGATAATGCTTTTTGAGCTTGATAAAATTCATCATTAGATGATGGAAACAAATTATTATTATTCACCATATAAGATTGTCATACTAAATCACTAAGAACTCTATCAACATTTGTTCGGAAAATATCTCAAGGTATTATGATATCAAAACGATTTCCATAATGATTTATGTGCGCGTGAAAGAAGTAGAACAGGTAAAATAGGTCAGTCGCGTAATGTCTGGAGCTCATCGATCTTACGATTTTAATTACAATAATCAAAAATGCTATGCATTAAGCTGTACTAATTGAAACGTGATTAATAAGAGATTTACACAAAAAATAACATAAACTCTAATAACAGAGACTTTTCTTTAATTAATAAATTAACTGACCTTAAGCAGTTTCTCAATCCTGTGCGGGTGTCATGTTGGAAAATACGTGGGAAATCCCCCAGATTATCCATTTCTTTATAAACAGACTACCTCTCTTATAGGTACAAGAAAGATTGATATTTTGAATTACCAAAATACTTATCCGATTGTCTCACTTCACGGGAACTTGAAATTCTATCAATATTAATGATAATATCCAAATATACCCCCTATATACTATAATGTTTATTTATAGTATATAGGGGGTATATTTGGATATTATCATTAATATTGGTTATTTGATAGAATTTTCAAGTTCCTGTGCTCACTTGCAGTACAAAAGTAAAATGAATATAAAGGCGATTCGATCAAAGTTCAAATTAACACCTACATAATCTACTTTCTGTTTGCAAGACTAAACAAAAAAACAATATTTTTTTTTTATTTTGACGTTTACATTATTTAGGTCGAAATTTACATAGTTTTATAGAATACACCTGCTCAAAACTTTTTTCTTGTTGCAGTCTGGCGAGTTGCTTTCTTTACATCAAGGAAGGTCAAAAAATGCCAAACTTAAATAGTGGCTAGGGTAGGTATAAATGAATGAAAACAGGGTAGTTTTTGTGTACATGAAAACCATACGTAGATTTGTACTTATTTTAGATATTATTCTCACCCTTCTCATAATTCGATGATATTAACAGAAGTTTGGCGGTAAGAACTGTAAATATTGAATAATGCTGTACCATATCATATACATTTATGTATATATATATTTCGTGTTAAGTAATAGGCAAGCGAATTTCAATTGCCAAGGTAAGATAGCTTTGCAAAATAACAAAACGGTTCGTCCTCAAAATCATTCGAATATTATGCAATTCGCACCAATATTTTAATGGACATATTCTCGGCTCAACGGAGAATTTTTCTTTACCTCTGGCTTTGTCTTGAATTTATTTAAAGTACATGTATACTAATCATTTCACTTTTACTTGTTTTTATTTTGAAATTGCTTCGAATCTTTGTTGCAACAGACAAACATTGCAGAATTTCAGACATGGTATTACTTTGTGAATTTATGCATTTGGTTCTACTTTTTTTCACAAATATGCAACTCAATCATTAATCAACGAGCACATACCAAGAACATGGAGAAAAATTTATTAGTGCTTCGGATATTCAACTGTAATAGAGAGCAATTGTCAAGGCTGATTTTGCACATTACCTGTGACTGTTCACATCATTTTGCGGTGTCTTTGATGTACAGCATCAACATTTAACTTGTATTTAAATGACATATGACATTGATAAGTATGAAATTTATGATTTAAGTGGCATTTTCATGTTTTATGACGGGTGTGCATATGAATGCATACCATACAAGTCACGTAGTTTTTAACATATTAGATAGAATACGATCAGAAATATGAAAAATATCTTTTCTTCAAAACAAGATGAAATTTTTTTAAAGTTTTACTTATTGAACTTATTTATACTAGTATTAGACCATGTTTAATTATAATTAACTAGTCACAAAATTCTCTATAAAAAGGACACAGTAACAAAATATGATACTCTGATTCAACTTGATTCATAATACATCTTCTTCATAATCTCTCGCTTCTAATGATATTCTTATATCGACCTTCTTAAATCTCGAAGTTATGTGATGAACATCTAAATCTCGCTAGCGCTTTCATATGTGCCTCAACATTAAAAGTATTTAAATAACAAGCTGGAATAATTCTCTGTATTCATCTAATTTAGAAGAAGACTCAAATCAGAAAAGCAATTTAAGTGTTTAAATATCTAAATCTAAATAGATATCTAAATTTACATTTTCAAAAAAAAGAATTTAAAAATTAAAACGCCATTAAAGCTTAAGCTTGATAAAAATTATCATTAGATGATAAAATTTATTAAAAAATGCAGATAATAAATTGTTCCAGAACAAAATATTATTTTTCATCATATGATATGGTCATGCTAAATCATTTAGACTTCTATCAACATCTTTTCGTAATATTATAAATATTATAACATCCAAATTATTTCTATTGTTTGACATAAATACATGTATTTGAAATATTTATGGAAAATGTGTGGACCAATCCATATTAACACACATAAATATTGTATGTAAAAAGCCTTAAATGATCCATAAAAAATATTGTGCTATTTTTGTTTAAATGGGTTTAAAACGTTAGGAATGATGTCGCGCATGCGCCATTGGCTCTACCTAATTAAACAAATATATTTATGTCATAGTCATACAGATATTTTGGAAATTTTTGACCAGATAATGGCAGATATGCAGCTTTTTACACTTCAACATAATGATCATTTACATAATGATTTATTTGCGCGTAAAAGAAGTAAAACGCGACACTTATTTGTTAAAACCTCCAGGCGCTTATTTTATAGGTCAGTCGCGTAATGACTCGTCGATGTACAAATGCTATGCATTGAGCTGTACAAATTGAACAGTGTTTAATGAGAGATTAACATAAGAAATTTAACATAAAATCTAACAACAGAGGCTTTTCTTTAATTAATAAATTAACTGACCTTAAGCAGTTTACTCAATCCCGCGCATGTTTCATGTTGGAAAATACGTGGGAAATCCCCCAGATGATCCATTTCTTTATAAATAGACTACCTCTCTACAAGAATGGCGATGATTCGATTAATGTCCATATTAACACCTACATAATCTATTTTCTGTTTGCAAGAGTAAACAAGGAAAGATTATTTTTTTATTTTGACGTTTTCGTCATTTAATAAACTTGCTTGTTGCAATCTGGTGCGTTGCTTATAATACTTTACGAGTAGGAGTAAATAAATGAAAATAGGGTAGTTTTCTGTGTACATGAAAATTAAACATAGATTTTTACTTATTCTGACATAGTATTGTTACTCTTGTCTTAATTCGATGAACTAAACAGAAGTGTTGCTGAAAGAACTGTAACTTTACGATATCATATGCATGTATGTATCTATATTTTGTGTTAAGCAAGAGAATTTCACTTGCCAAGGAAAAAAGTCTGTAAAGAAAGCCTATGTGTTTCAACAATAAAATCATACTATGTGCGTTATGTATTGAACAACTGTGTGATTACATAAATATTATATTTAAATGATGTGTTAACATAACATTGATGAGTATGAAATTTATGATTTAAGTGGCATTTTCATGGTTTTAACAAATAACGGGTATGCATATGTATGCATAACATACAAGTTACGTCGTTTTTACCATATTAGATAGAATACGATCAGAAATATGACAAATAATTTATTTTTAAGCAATGCATATTTTTTATAGCATATCAAACACAATCCTATTTTTTTCCAAACGAGATGAACAAATTTTGAAGTTTTACTTATCGAACTTATTTATATTAGGCCATGTATAATAATAATTCATTAGATAAAAAGGACATAGTATCAATATGTGATACTCTGATTCAACTTGATCCATAAGACATTTTCTTCATAATCTTTCGCTTCTAATGATATTCCTATATCGACATTCTTCCATCTGTAAGTTATATGTGATGAACATCGCTATCGCTTTCATATGTCCCTCAACATTAAATGAATTTATTAAATTTAATTCTTGAATAAAGTTTGACTTAAACTGTCTATATTCATCTAATTTAGAAGACTCAAATTGAGATAACCAATTATAGTGTTCCAATTAATATTTGATATCTAAATTTACATTTTAAATGGTGGAATTGAAAAAAAAAAGCCATTAAAGCTTGGGCTGCAGATAATGCCTTTTGAGCTGATAGAGTTACACCTAAAAATGTTTTACTTAGATACAGCAGATAATTAACTGTTCCAGAACAAAAAATTATTATTCTTTATAGAAATAAAATGGTCATTCCAAATCGTAAAATATTTTATTATGATATCCAAATAATTTCTATTATTTGGTCTCAAAAATGTATTTGAAATACTTTTGAAAATTGTGCGGCCCAATCCAAATTAACAGAAATAAATATTGTATGTAAATAGAATAAAATGGTCTTGACAAAAAAATATTATGCTATTAATATTCAAATGGTTTAAACCGTTAGAAATGATGTCGAGCATGCGCCATTGGCTCTACGTAATTAAACAAACACATTTCTTTCATAGTCATGAAGATATTTTGAAAATTTATGACTTTTACACTTTAACATAATGATCATTTACATAGTGATTTATGCGCGTAACAGAAGAAGAACAATAAAATGAGGCAAGACACTTAATTAATAGGTCAGTCGCGCAATGACTTGTCGATCTTGCGATTTTAAATAAAATAAGTACAAAAGCTAAGCATTGAGCTGTGATAGTTGAACAGTGTTTAATGAGGGATTTACATAAGAAATTTAACATAAAATCTAACAACAGAGGTTTTTAAATTAATAAATTAACTGACCTTTAGCAGTTTACTCAATCCCGCGCAGGTTTCATGTTGGAAAATACGTGGGAAATTCCCCAGATGATTTATTTTTATAATTAGACTACCTCAGTACAAGGAAAATTGATAATAATTAATCGATTATATCACTTGCACTGCGGTATACCGTACCCCGGATATTGCTCAATATTATGAGGACTTTCATCCCATTTCGCGACTTTGAACGGGGAACGAAGGTAAGTTCAGCGACGATATTTTCCAAACTAATGGCTATTTCATTTATCTCAACGGATTTTGTATATCTAGAGGTATTTTTGTAGCTCTAAAAGACGTAAAAGTATTACAGGTATTTGTAAAATTGATTAAACTACCCCTAAACAGTACAAAAGTAAAATGATATATAAATGTGGCATGACCAATATTGAAGAACAAAGGAAAACGACCAAAAAACATATTTACATGTAGGTCACTTCATTATATTCTACTTTCTGTTTGCAAGAGAAAAACATGCAATGAACAATTTATTTTTTAATTTCGACGTGGCATCACTTAGGTCGAAACGTGCATAAAATAAACTTGCTCAATACTATTATCTGGTTGCAATTTCGGGCATTGCTTACTTTACGGCTTATGCATTTTTGCACAGACACTTGGGGTTTGGAGCTCAAAACGCCTTTAAAATCCAAATAAAATGCATATTTGTCAATCCCAGCACATGTACTGATCATATATATCAAAAAAACTTAATATAAGCCGTTTTGAAAAAAAATCATATTTCAACAACTATAATAATATTATAGTTGTTGAAATATGATTTTTTTTCAAAACGGCTTATATTAAGTTTTTTTGATAAATATGATCAGTACATGTGCTGGGATTGACAAATATGCATTTTATTTGGATTTTAAAGGCGTTTTGAGCTCCAAACCCCAAGTGTCTGTGCATTTTTGCAAGGAAATTGGAAAAAATGCCATAATGAAATAATGCTTAGAGTAGGGGTAAATGATTGAATGAAAAACGAATGAAAAAGGGTAGTTTTCGTGTACATAAAAAACCATACATTTAGCGTCGATTTGTTGAAAATTAGCAACTTTCTTTATGTAGGCAGAAAGGACTTTGTTATTTCCCAGTCATTTGTGAAGGGACCTGGTGAAAGTTAGCGCCATTTTGTGTGATCATACACGTGTAGTACATGAACGTTCTATTGTATACTATTAAAAAGAGCTTTTTAATGTGGGGAAAGTTTAAGTAATGTTTTGGAAAAAGTCTTAATCCATGATATACACCTTATTAAGTATGTTCACTATGAAGAGCAACAAAAAATGGGGTGAAAATCTCAATTTAGCATAAAATCGAGCAACGGGGTTGTAGAATTAAGCCGACGCGCTCTTTATCATATGATTTAGAGATATTATGTAATCATTTTACAACAAATGTTGACACGAAAAAGATAAATATTAAGTGTTTTTCTTTAAGTGTAATGAAATTTCACAATCAAAAGTTAAAAACAAAATAATTATGTTTCATGTTTTCATGGAATGGCACTAATATGTCAAATTGAAAGATCCATGATAACCGTCGCATGAACACATCTGGGGATGTTTCTCAATTCAAAATTTCATTTATAACATGTTTAAAATGTTGAATTCTATTTAAGACGTGCTAGGGGCGTAGACAGTAGCTTGCACTTTCCAGTACTGCCCATGAACAGGCTCAATCAAACCGAGCCTGAATCATACAATATATTTTCAATTTTTGCCGTTTTTGGTATTTCTTTAGAGATTCTGTTTCTCTCCATTTTACTTGCAAAAACTGCAGGCACTTAATTAATATGGCAACCGTTTCGAAAGATTTAAAATTAAAATCAATACAATGAGCTTCAATGATTATAAATAGTGTTTAATTGGAAGTTCACAATATAAATTAATTAAACGTAATTTCTAGCGGCAGAAGCTTATTTTGAAACAAATTACATTGTTAAATTATCTTGCCCAGAACACGTTAAAGATAAACAAAATTACAGATTTAGCAACATCCTATTCAATATATATACTCCTTAAGTTAACGCTATACTTTTGTGCAAAACATCGAATTATTTTAAAACAACTACCGTTACTAGTATAGTACAAAGCTATGGGAATCAAAGCATCTTTACAATTCTTGAATGTTTGTACATGTTTTAAATCAAAAGCAGCATAGAAAACTCCGGATTCTTATTAAATACATGATAATTAATAGTGAGTTTATAAGAAATAAGAGGTTGGACACTTATAGGCCCTTAAAAATACCTAACGATGAAGGTAAATCAAGCCCTTTCCCATATGAGCCAAGTGGGCAAGCTAAAGTCATTAAAACAAATACCGTTTTTTTTTTCCTTCACAGTCCCATATGAGGTATATTCTTTAGGAGATGGCCCTAAATACAGTCATATGAGCTAACCTCAATTCTTCTGTGAAGTATGATATAGAATGGAGTCAAGCCCTGTTTAATTAAATCTACCTTTAATGAAAAAAAGCAAAACAAAATAAAACGATATGTTTTATATCATTAACTGACTTTTACTATGTCTTATAATGCAATTCATATTTCACCGGTTTGCAAAACCTTATCAGTCAGTCAAGCCCGTCCAAAAAAATATGATCAGCAACACCTTATTTTTCTTTATGAAGCATATAGGCGCCTAATGGCTTGTTGCCCTCCGTGCATCAAAACAGTAAACATTATAAAAAATGACTAACTTACATATTAAGAATCATTTAAGGAATAAATTAATCCAAAATTAATTGGTTACCTTTTCGTAGATTATAACGTTTAAGGACAGGAATGGCGAAATGTCCTGATTTTTTGAACCGCAGCAGCAATGAGACACACTACAGCCTTCAGCATGGCATTGTCGTCTGCAGCCAAATTAGGATCCTCATCTCAAATGATGTCTTACCGTTGAAATTCGAGTTTGCGCTTAGTTTTGTCTGACTTTTCTCGTTTTTTCAATAAATTAATTACATTTCGTAACGATTGTCGTATGAATTTCGCGCGTTTTTCGTAAGAACACAAATTTGGCAATCACGCAAAAAAGTATCGAGTGAAAGTAACGTTATATTTAAAAAAAGCTTAAAAAGATTTACTAAATCGCCTTAATAACGGTTTTATGTGTGTTATATATACAAGATACGATTGTTATATTCTTACATTTATTTCATTATTGTCATTATTTCTTATTGTAATTTTTCTAATAATGGATGTCTATCTAAATTTTGACTTTGTTAATTGCAGATGAAGAAAGTACACTTGTATTTATGTTTAATGATAATTATTGATAAAAAATGATTGTATGATTGTTCAGTATGTGTGTTAAGATATATGTATATGTTATATAATATTCGATTGATAAGTTTAATTTAGCTGGCCGCATCGTAAATATGTTGTTACAAACATACATGTACAGTCTCACGTTCCTCACGGTCAGGCAATATCCGTGCCATACCGGGCACAAAAGTGATAGAATTTAGCTTTTTTCAAGGAGGGTAACTCTTGACAAAAGAAAACCAACATGGCGTCAAAAAATAGCAAGGATGATCTTAGACAGCAAATAAAAACACCTGACAGTAAAAGACAGTACCGTAAAAAGAAAAAATACTCGGATTCTAGTGACAGCAGTGATAGTGAGGATAACTATAACACTCGGTCTCGACATGACAAGGAGAGAGAAGCGGAGCGGAAGGAAGAAATGCGTAAAACGCAAACGGGAATAACCCAACGTCGTTTATTTTCTGAAGAACAGTGTGAAGAAATTGAGAGAAAGATCGACGAAGTTGTTAAGATATCAAACAGAGGTGTATACAAAGAACATACAGTAGATAGAGCTCCCCTTAGAAATAAATATTTCTTCGGTGAAGGTTACACATACGGATCACAGCTCGAAAAAAAGGGTCCGGGTATGGAGCGCCTTTATCCCAAGGGCGAGGTTGACGAAGTTCCAAAATGGATCTTTGATCTTGTAGTTAAGCCCATTGTTAAAGCAGGACTAGTACCAGAAGGCTTTGTTAACAGTGCAGTGATAAATGACTACATGCCAGGTGGTTGCATTGTGTCCCACATTGATCCACCCCATATTTTTGACAGACCTATAGTGTCTGTATCATTTTTTAGTGACAGCGCCTTATCATTTGGTTGCAAATTTTCATTTAGGCCTATTCGCACATCAGAGCCTGTGCTGGTGCTACCTATAGATAGAGGATGTGTAACCTTGATTAGGTAAGACTAAGTCAAAGCTAAGAATATCACAAATTTATATCATACATTTTGCGACTATATCCTGGAATAGACATTGTGATCCAGTGTTGCATTTACATCTACATCATACTGCTTCAATATCATTATCAATTACACTAAGCAGGATATAGGACACCCTATGTGCACATATTTTTTGCAGATCGAGCATTTTAATGAAGTCATTGGCTTGCGCACCAAGTTGCGCATCTGACAATCTTTTCAAGTTAATTCAGTTAATCTTCATCGTATCTTGAACGCTTCTGCCAAGTTTGAAATGACTAAAATACATACTAAATGGTAGGGGTGTAACAATACGGCAAAAACCGTATTGCAATATATTGCCATTTTGCTGAAGCGTATTGCAATATATTGCAATACGTATTGTTGTGTATATGTTTTGATATAAAGTCTTTTAAGATGGAGTAACATTATATTTTATTATTATATGTATATATTTTTAGTAGAAACTTAATATAAATGTAAGGAATAAATAGAAAGTAAAGTGTCACACAATTTGATAAACAAAACTAGTCACATGGGACCTTTCACATCTGGGCCGCTTATGTAAATTATGCGGCCGCTTATTGATTTTTAAGTGTACTAGTTGTCGGATACTTTTACCTTATGTTGGTGCCAATAAAATTCGCCAATTAAAGATTTTATGTGAAATTTGTACAAAATTGGAAGGCAATTAATTGAAAATTATGATTTTTATAAAATACCGGTTTTCCAAAAATCGTACCGTGGTACGAAATTTATTTTTTTCATATTGCAATATATCGGTATACCGGTTAACCGTTACACCCTTACTAAATGGTGTGTAGCAGCCAACTGGGTCATCTTGTGTGTGTATAATAATGACGGTTTGATCTGCGCACTTTACTAGTATTCATCAATATTTTATTTTTTCTATTTCTGTTGTTGAGCAGATGATAGCTGTCAAAAATGTCTAAAGGTAAAATAAATGAATTATTTTTGGTATGTCATATTGTTAGGTAAAGGCATGCCCCCACATATTTTTCAAATCCCCCACATTTTTCAGTTGAGTGGGGGACAATCCCCCATAATTTTGAAATTATAGATCTATGCAACATTGGCATACATCATTACATGTGAACTTTTTTCAATGATCAAGTGGGAGATTTTTCTTCAAAAAGAAGGAGATTTTAGAATTTGCAATAAACAAAGAAGAAAGTTCTGACATCAAAAAGAGGGAGATTTCCTTAATTTGTGAAAATACCCCTTATTGTAAGAAAAATCTTTGAAAATATGGCTGCAGAAAGCGGGAATCTCCCGCTTTAAGTGGGAGAGTTCATCAGGGCTCATCCGGAAGAGCGATTCAGGCGAAAACTTCGCCGTGTATATTTCCATTTCGCTCTCCCAATTGATCAAAGAGAAGTCAACATCGCCGATAAAATCTTAATTCCCAAAGAGTAATTACTTGCCGATGTAAAAAGCAGAGATTGTATCCGCCCATATGACGACTGCTAATTATCCTTATCCAATCAGATTGTCGCTTTATACTACCCTTCTACCTGTATGCAAAGCGATAGACCACCTACTCTAAACAGTAAATAATGAGAGCATCGGCCCGAAAAGGGTAATATTGTGTGACAGTTTTGCGAGTTTAATACGGGATTTGGCGATAATTATAGATTGATTTTTCCCGATCATCTAAACATTGCAAATCTTCCCTAATTGATATACACGCGGTGTTTAACCGAAGTAAAGGCGATGTGCAATGGGTTTTTCACGGCTATCACATGGGTTTTTCACGGCTATCACAAAACTGTTAGTCAATTAAAAATAATCAATTTCATTAATGATCAGCGACCGGATTAAAAACTTAAGCATAGTTTTGAATGATTTCAGTCCGTTAACATCAATTAAAAATTGTTATGTCGCTCATGTCATGGCTTAGGGTGAAATGCCCAAACCTAGCAGTAAAAAAAAGTTACTGATTCTGATACACCTAATACACGCGAAAATTTAAGAAAGCCAATTCGCAAAAATCTTACGATTGGTATGTTGTAGACAGTGAGAGTGTTTGGGATTGTTATCTTTGTAGAATGCCAAATTTGACACAGCTTACGCACGTGGGCACAACATCCCGGAAAAACTACGAATCATGATCGGCATACTACATATCGGTCGTATATCATGTGTACATGTATATAACAACAAAATTTGTCAGGAAAGAAGTGTTCTTAATGTCATAAATATGACGCTCAGATTAAGATTGATCAATATTGTAAATTTCAAAAAGCATTATTTATATAAAGATATTACAAGTTTAACATTTCATGAAAATAAAGGGAGGTAATTAGAAATTTATTTTCTATAATTTCTCAGTCAAATTTTTCAATAAGAAATGAATGTATAATTTTATTGATCAAATATAATGTGCACAAATGTTTGCAGTACATATTTTACATATTCTTCGATGTTTGAAAATTGTTTTATAAGCATAATTATATGCACATAAATGTGACATTACAACATACAAGATCATAGAAAAGAAATTTCTGTAATCAGAACAGGATAGACAGATTTTATTAATCAATATCCAATGTAACTTTATCTTCTATTAAAAGTGAGGAAAGTAAAAATATAAAATTAATTTATTCATCATATGATTTCTTACACATTATTATCAATAAATCTACATGAAAATATATAAACAAATATTTAGAGAAAGCTAAATAGATTAATTGTGTTTATATTATAGTTAAAGGATGTATAGCCATGCATGTTAATGCAAACACGTTGGGTTTTTCCCTTCTCCCTATTTTTCGCGAGGAAGTCACTTCTCCCTAAAATTTCCCCCCAGGATGAGCCCTGGTTCATATGTATGCATTGGGGTCTAAATGAGGAGTATATATCAGGTTCATTCTGTTTTCTTTAATGTATAAGTTTGACTTCTGAAATAAACATAGGCAGGGGTCTAACCTGTGATATTTCCAACTTTGCTGTATGGGTGGGAACAAGGCATATCCTAGATACTTAACCCCTCAAATTGTGAGACACTTCTCCCCTCAACGAAGACATTAAGCCCCTCATCTCTTATTTTTGATTAGAGTAAATATTTTCTTTTTTTTGTAATATTTGAAAAAATATTTCATGTAAGGCACTTTTTAATACATTGAAACATTAAAACATAACTTGAAAGACAATTTTCAGTTAACATATAAAATAAAACTTTGAAAATATATTTCAACAGCAGGGTTTTCATTATAATTTAACAGATTGGCGATTCATATCATCTTTTTAAATGCTGTTAAGTTTGGTTGTAATTTTTAGCCTGTAGATTAAAATGTCCTCCTTGACCCTTGACCAAATTGGTAGCTTTTGTTAGCATATCTGTTGCCTCTCATATAGATGAAAACCCTGCAACAGTTATATATAAATTATTATATAACATGAAAGACAATTTAAAGAAAACAAAAACCTACTACTAGATAGTTTTATAATTGCTTAGTTACATTTGCTGCAAATTAATATTGTGTCTTTAAAAGATTTGACTTTCAACCTAAAATCACAATTAATTACATTTCAAATTTTTCACATAATGTATTCATTTCATATTTTGTGCAAAAAAACAAAATGGAAAGGGGAGGGGGGGGGTGACATGAAGTGAAGTGACTCTATCAAATTTCATAAAAAGAAGGATGAAGTTTCTGTGGGGTGAACTGTCTGTAAATCATTTAGGCAAGCAGAATGTTTTTGTTTAAGAAAATTACTTGTTTCAAAAGCGCTAACTGTATGCATAACTGGTTTATGTCTATATATTTTTAACAAAAGAATTGATAGATCTATCATAAAAATTTAATCATTACTAAGAATATAGATGATAGATATCTAAAGACAAATATTGTTATCTACTATAACAGTCAGAATTTCTTTAGTTGTTTCCTTATACATGTACTACAGTATTATTGTTGGATTTTCTCAGAGAGTCAAGCAGTGATAAAATTTATATCATAATAATAATATGTCTGACTCAAAGTTTTGCCATCATATTAAAAATTATCTATACTGCAAAGATACCGCAAATATGCTTTTTAAAGTGTTATCAGTCACTAATCACCATTTATTTACCTCCAGTCAATTTTGCCAAATTTGTATACTAGTCAGTGGCAGCACGCCGCAGTAGTCCTGCTTACTTGCAAGCATTGACATATAAAATATATATATACATACTAATTCTACATGTATAATGTATTTTCTGCATGAAATGTGCAGGTCTTTTTGATAATGGGCATGCTTTATGTTAATGTTGTTTAATTCTATTTGATTCCATTCTATCTTATTCTTTCCTAATATTTAAAGTATATTTATGTTGTATTTCAGTGGCTATGCAGCTGATAACATAACCCACTGTATTAGGCCTCAAGATGTTGTCAAAAGACGAGCTGTAATCATCCTGAGAAAGTAAGCTTCACTTTATTTTCATTTACTTGAAACACAGGTCACAAAAGTATGTGATATTTTGTTTGTTTGTTTGATTGGGTTTTACATCACACCAACACAGAATAGGTCATTTGGCGAGGTTTCAGCTTTACAGGTGGAAGAAAACCTCAGGTACCCCTCTGTCCATTATTTCAGGCATGAACGGGCACTTTAGTAGAACCACCGAAGTTCCGTAAGCTAGCTGGATAGCTTTGTATGTGGTATACATGTCTTGATAGTATATATCTATGTGATAATGTCTATGTGCTTGTATTTTTTATCTTTCATTGTGTAGTAATCAACTTATCATTTATAAGTATTTATTTTCTGGTTGTGCATAACCTTATAATATTCACTGAATATATGCTTTCAGTTTGTAAAAATGACTATTAAATTATAATTACGGGTATGTACAAAGAAATGAGCTTTATACTTTAACATATACTTTCCCTTGTTTGGCAGCAAGTGAGGATATTAAAAAATGGAGCTTGTAAAACACAAAGACCTCAGACCTATGTACTGAGCCACCAGGTTCCTTAACACTTAAACATATTATGGCAAAAAATATTATTATAAGAGGGGTATGAATTTTCGTGGTATATGTTCATAAATCAGTCCACAAATTTAAGTTCCAACAAAACTTCATTTCTCTGCTGTATGATTATCAATATTATATTATTTCCGTTTACTTTTTTACAAACAAAAAAAACCTAGACAATCCAGTAATTTAAGAACCAACGAAAATGTTCATTTTGATTTTTGACAACACCACCAAATTTCATACCCACAAAATTAAGTGAATTCACAATATTCATCTGGAGGTATATAAGGAAAATGATGAAACAGGTACTAACTGTTTATCAGACTGAATCTAATTTGAAAAAAAATGTCAAACTTGTACAAAGTATGCCATAATTTAAATTAAAGGACATGTGATGATGCTCCAAGACTTGATCCAGTGGCCAGTTCTAGAGTAAGACCAGCATATGATGCCAGGAAGCGACCAAGAGACCGGTCCTCAGCGCATTCAAGTTCAGAGTCACACAGGTTTGTACAACTGATTTAAATTAACAAAGTATTCCATTAAATTAAACGGTAATGAATTTGTTAAAAGTTTGTTAGCTTCACTTTTTTAGGGAAAAAATTGGAGCTATTGTCACAACTCATAGCCCGCTTGTCAGTCAACTCAGTGTTGGCACTGGTGTTAGTTAACCTAAGTTTACATTAAGGTCATTTTCTCTGAAACTATAAAGGGAATGAACCTTGATTTAGTATACATGTTTTTGAATGAACTACATGGTTTAACATTTTGTTAAGGGGTATATTCCTTGAAATATTACTTCACAATCAAGGGCAGGTAAGTCTGCTTAGTAGGAGCAGTAGTCCAGTGGTAGGACGCGCGCTTAGGGATCGAGAGGTCCCGGGTTCGAACCCCACTAGGGGCACTGCTAATTTCCTTGAGCAAGAAATTTACCTGCGATTGCTTCACTTCACCCAGGTGTAAATGGGTACCTGCGAGGGTGGTATAAATCCGTTGCGCCAAAGTGTCGGCTGCACTAAGCGGAGTTAAAAGACTCCCCAGGGAGATTGATAGATAGATACCAGTAGCCCGATGACCAGGGGTAATAGCTGTAAAGTCGGTGAACGTGCGTAAGCATGAAACTTAGACTATAAAATGCAATTACTTTACTTTACTTAGCACTTTTGCCAAATGATGCCTCATTTTTATGGTGCTTTTATTTAGCTATCCAGGGCTCAGAAAAAGTTAAGTTTTTGTCCACGGACTGGTTTCATTTTTAGTTGTGTTATATTTACATATATGATAGTAAGTCCCTAGTGTTTATAAATTTAATGAAAAAGATAGATTCTAGAGCAAATAATAATTTTGAAGCTTTATTGTTATAAACTTCTGGACCCATGTGAAAGAACACAAGGCACACTGCCTTAAGGTTCAGTGAGATAACATGATATTTTACTTGCAGTTACTCTCTGAAAAGTAACAGAAGACTTTTATATATTTTGTAACTGTTTTATTGAAGATTATCTAACTGTTGAAAATTAAAATATGGTGGACTTTTGTATATGATTTTAGTAATTTTATTTCTTTTACAGTTATTTGATACAATATTCTAATATGAATATGCTGTTGATCTTGAAAAAATATGTTGATGCAGTGGTTTATCGATTCATTTGACACATTTAATAAGAATTAACTTACAAATCACACATAGTTCTATATACATTAATGTGCAGTCTGATCAGGATCCATGCTGTTCGCTTACAAACCGTATAACAAGTTGAGAAACTGATAGTGAACAGCATGGATCCCGATCAGACTGCAGGGATGCCCAGGCTGGTCTGGATCCATGCTGGTCGCACACCCATTATGTTTGTTTTGTCATGGCACAGCTCATTTTCTTTACTTTTTAACAGCTCAGACAGTGATAGTGGTCATCATTCTCACCGGAGGCGTAAGAGAACAAGGCATTCCTACCCTGATACTAGTTCCCGGTTCCTGTACGACAGGCGTGAAGAAAATGGTCACAGTCATCGTCACAAATCCAAAAGATCTCACCATACAAGGAGGCACAGGTCTGAATCCCCGAAACACCGTGGTGGTAGCAATAGTCGTAGTAAGAGAGAAGTTAAAATTGTAGAGAATGTATAGATAGTTTACTGAGATATTACATACCTAAATGAATGGATGTACAATGTACATTACTGCGGTGAGATTTTATAAACTGTTGGTTTAGTGGCCAATAACAAAGTTTGAAAAAAGACACTTCAGGGAAGGCGATATGTTATTGTATACATGTACATAGACCGCTGTTAAAGTTTGTTGATTTTTTTTCTTTTCATTATTTGTTAAACTTACCGGTATATTGTTGTTTTCTTTCTGAAGTAGTGAAAAGGATGCTGCTTTTTTACAGAATTGTTCAGTTTTCTTACATACATGTGTGTGGGTTTTCTGAAATATTTAACAATGTACAAATTTTTATTCAACTGTAGCTTTTGAATTTTAGTTATATACTGCTCAATGTATTGTGTAGTTCTTAAATATATGTAAGTGACACAAAAAACAAGTATGAAATGGTAACTATATGATGAAGTCTATAATTTTTCTTTTAGTTTATTATTTGGTTTATTTCTATTCTGTCTGGTGAGATCATATTATATTCAATAGTATCATCTTTATGCCTAAGCCAAGGCAAGGGTGCTTATAGTGGTACCCCTGTGTGCGCAAAAAGCATATCCTGTCCATAACTGTCATGCATCAAGGGATCTTGAAATAACTTGGGAAAAATGTTGAGCATGATGAGGACGTGTATCATATGCAAGACCTAGACCCCTAGCTTTAAGGTCAAGGTCACATAAAGAAGTCAAAGATCAGCAGTTAGAATCTTGTCTGGCCAATCATGCATGTATTAAGGTATTTTGAAAGGGTGTGTCATGCACAAGACCTAGATCCTTATCTCCAAGGTCAAGGTCATGTTAAAAGGTCAAAGGTCAGCAATTAGGAAATCTTGTCCAACCCATAACTCTGTCATGCATCAAGGGATTTTAAAAATTTGCACAAATGTGAAGCATCATGAGACGATGTGTCATGCGCAAGAGCTAGAACCCTAGCTTCGAGGTCAAGGTCACAATAAGATGTCAAATGTCAGCCTTAAATTTGAAGAAAAAAAAATACTTAATGTATAAATATCTACTTCTATTTTTCTATTTCTATGCTCTGTCACTCTACATTTTGAAATTAAGGCCAGCTTGTAAATATTAAAAAACAGCCATCTGTCCTCTTACTTTAAAAGGTATCTTATTACAAAAAAATTTATGAAATACCAACTTTGCTTTCCTGTCATAACATCTTTATTATATTATAGGTGTCGTAACATTTCTAGCAGGGGCATCCTTGTCTTTCAGACTCATTTCTGGCTTTTGCAGTTTATTATGAATGATGACTGTATTTAAATATTTTTTTTACAATTGAATTAAAAGAAATGAAAACCTATGATACATTATTTAAGCTAGATACCTTATACTTGTACACAACATACATGTACCTCTGATTTATACCTTTATAATGGGATATTGTAATAAAAATCTTGACCTTTGAAATCAAGGTCATTTTTTTTTCGCAAAAAAACAGGTAATTTGATTAAAAAAACAACAACATTCTATTTATTAAAAGCAGATTTAAAACAAGGGCAGTAATTGTTACATGTACAAAAGCATCATGTTCTTTTCTGATTTTTTTGTATTTGCAGATAAAAATACAAGATACACATATAATGTTGATTTTACTTTCATTTTTCACTTTGTTATTGAGATATAAATACAATTATGTTAATGATTTTTTTAGAGATCTGTTTTATATTACCTCATGATGATAAGTTTTCTGATTATGTAATTGCATTTGTTTAGTTTTTTCTTTAACTCGTTGTCTTCTGGTTGAACTGCCTCCGTGGTCGAGGGGTTAGAGTCGATGAGTTCTAATCCAGTTACCTCTCTGCGTGGGTTTGATCCCCGGGAGATGCTTTGGTAGTTTAGCACGGAGGAAGGTAGTCTAGTACTGGTGTAACTCTCCAGGAACGATGGTTAGGAAAGTACCCGTCTATATGATTGGAAAAGGCGTAAAATGAAACAAATGAAACAGAATCTTCCCATGCAACCAGTGCAGACTTAGCTCTGCAGGAATATGCATGCAATGGTCAGCAGTGTTCAATATGTCAGTATATTTTATGAAATATAAGTGTTAGAAAATTTATTAAAGTATTAAAGTCAGTATATTTTAACCTACCCAAGTATATAAAAAATAATGTCACTGGCATATATGGTGCATAAATTGGTGTACATTTAACATTTTATAAAGAATAGAGACTACCGTCAGAAAGTGAATTCTGAGCTCAATTCTGATCATCTTACATAGTCCGTTTAACAAAATAAGCAAGGTAAAGTTAATAGGATTCTTCATAATTAGACTTTGTTAACAATAGATCATCCTGTCTTTATTTTGATGCTGTTCAGTGTAATATCTAGTTAATGAAATATCAGGATAATCACATTGAGTGTTTAGAAAAAATAGTTAAATTTATAAGGATAGTTTTCAAAAGTGCTCACAATAATTTCTATAGATTATGCCAATCTTGCCATTTCAAAATGATTTATGCTAAATGGGTTTATGATTTGTTATAGACTGGGAACTTCTTTCAGAAATCATCTGTAAGTGGATGGAAGAACATTTTTAAAACACTTGAAATATAAGCACCAAATAAGGGGCGTCCGTGGCCGAGTGGTTAAGGTCGTTGACTTCAAACCACTTGCCCCTCACCCCTGTGGGTTAGAATCCCAACAGGGACTTTGGATTCTTTAATGTGAGGAAGCTATCCAGCTAGCTTACGGAACGTTGGTGGTTCTACTCGGGTACCCGTTCGTGCCTGAAATAATGCAAGGACGGGCACCTGAGGTCTTCCTTCACCAGTAAAGCTGGAACGTCGCGATATGACCTATACTGTGTTGATGTTACGTAAAACCCAAAACCAACAAACAAAATAAGCACCAAATTACTTAACCATAAGAGAAAGTTTGCATGTTTTTTCTAGATTATCGAATGTCCTGTATGAGTTATTAATGCAACCTCCTTTTGGTATTAATAATGTAGTTTATGAATACTGGTACTTAAAGTACATTTGTATTTTTTTCTTCTTCTATTATTATCCCACTACTGACAGACTGTACTTTACAAATGATTATGGTTCTTACTTGAAATATCAAAGTTATTTGGACCTAGAATTTGTATAGTTGTAATGTTCATGTGAGGAAAGGGCAAGGGAAACTATGAAAACTTTTTGTCATATATTGCCAAAAACTTATACACTGGTATAATAGATCGTTTTGTTCTTGCATTGATTTATTTTGTAACTGCACCTCTATAAGTGATGGTTTAGACATAAATACTTGTTTTTGTTACAGTTGAAAATCTTTGATTAGTTATTTACTTCACAATACTTTGAAATATATAAGACATGCATATGATAGCAAATTGCATAATATAAATGACAAAGTCACCATTTACATGGATACATGTATGTATATGTTTATATATCTTGAGTTTTTGTTGTAACTTGTAACAAGTTTTTTGTGTGTTTATAATGTAGATAAAGGAAGAGAGTTGCTTGATAAAGTTGTCTGCATTATTAATATGATAATTATGTAGCCATCAACCTGCTTGAATTATAGCTAATTAGCACTTGCCACCAGTGTATAGCCAGGCCAGTCTGAACATATGTGCAGTCTGACCAGGCTCTATACTGTTGGCTGATGAACTTCATGCCTGCATTTCGATATCCCCAAAACTGAAAATGACAGTTGAAAAAATGAAGCTGTATAATTTAGCAGGTTAAGGGTTAAACAATATTATTATCAGTTAATGCGATATTATTATCAGTTAATGTGATAATATTATCAGATTATACGTTCATGCTTGGAATATCATTTTGTTGTTAGCCTGCAGATTATTATGATTTTGTTGTTGTTTATTGTTGATGAAAGCATCATAGTGCTGTTTCAAGCTGTTACCATGGGTTTTAATTATGGGATAAATGTTTTGTTAGTGTCACATTTATAAATTTCATGTTTGAACTTTATTTGTATCTGGTTTACCCTGTTGGATTATATGAATATATAGGTCAATTATAACATTTCTATGTCGTGATTTGTAGGGGATAAAATCTAATATGTTTTTTTTTCTAACCATTAGCTTGTTTATATTTAAAAAATTTATTGCTTAATAACTTGCTGCCCACAAAACAGGTATACCACCTTCAATCACAGAGCACCTGGTTTGCTTATAAATGGGGGATATTCCTGTGAAAAGGTTTATCTGATTTATTGTATTTTGGTGTGATTTCATGTGAACAGATGATGTTAACATGGTACATTTTCTTTTATATAAAAGTATATAATTTTAATGATATCATTGACAAACATCCAGCCTTTCACTTATTTACTTAAAACATTATGTAAATTGTTGAAATTTTTAGTTTATATGCATTGATTAAGAAACAAGACAGGCGAGAGCAAAAGGGTTATTATATAATTATCCTGTTTAAGAATTAAAGAAATATTGGCAGAACTATATAGCCAATGTGCCTTTGATAAGTACATGTACTTTACACCATTTTTTTCGTGGTTTGTCATTTGAAAGCTTAAATTTTCTGAATTTCATCTAGCTGATGAGAAAGAAAACTCACTGGGTTTGATTGATAAGGACTGGGATTGATACAGGACTAGGATTATCAAAGGTTGATTGATACAGCACTAGGGTTATCAAGGGTTAATTTGATACAGGACTAGGGTTATCAAGGAGTTAATTTGATACAGGACTCCTATGGTTTTGATTGATGTAGTACTGGGATTATCAAGGTTTTGTTGAACATTGCTTTATTATGTTTGATAATGTTATGTATGTTTTAGATACCAATGCATATTTCATAGAGTGTTTCTGGTATAAATATTTATTGATACTGTATCAAATTTTAAGGTCTGACTGAGAGAAAGTAGAAAGTCTGGGGTATCTACCTAATAAATAAATCATGATGTTAGAATAGGGCACATTTCAGCAGGGTTTAAATGATATTATATTACAGACATATTAAAGAATAAAAGAGTAAGCTTATATTTTACATGGGCAGTGTAAGTGAAATAATTTGATAGCAGTCTCATTAAAAAAAGACCTTCATTTATATTTTGTACAAATTAGGGCATATTTTGCCAGCTTTAAAGGGAACTTATTGATATTGATGTTTTAGATTGTTTGTCTGAGTTGTCTCCCATTGTATTGCAATATTTTTATGATTTAGAATTCTTATCGGTACTTACTGGAATAGTCCTAAATTGAATATTCTGATTACAGGCCAGGCATAGATTACATGTTAAAGGTATGATACTTTAAGTGAAACTGCCTCTGACAGTTTCTTGGCTGTAAAATGAAAGCAATAAAAAAGGGATATTTTAAATCATTGTTGATCAGTTCTTAAAATGATAAATTTAAATTGATAAAATTGATATTTGATGTCTATCATGTCATTAGATAGGACTTAATTCTTTCTCTTCCACATTTTATATCTATGAAAACTTATTTACTCAGTTTTTCACTTGAGAATTTATCTTGAAAATTTTATTGAAAATGTTCATTGATATATCTAGTATCACTTTACATTCACAAAGATTGGTGTGTGATATACTTGAAATGTAAACAAATATGTATTTTTTAATGGTCATCTTAGGAAATGAAGTAAAGTGAATAAATGAATGTTCACAGTTGTGAACGTTTAATGTATCCAAGTTGTAATTTGAAGATAAATGTTTTTTATGAAATGTTTTCTGTACATATACTTAATGTCCCTCCCTTCATCTTGGCTATTTCTCTTCTAAAAACTTGGCATATAAGAGATCCTCCTCAACTAGCTTGTTTTTGGAACACATTTGCTTGAAACCCCACCAACTTTATGATACATGTACGAGTAACAAATTTCCGGGAAGCCCCACCAAATGTTTTTGACACATATGTACGTTGAAAATGTGGATGAAATTTTATAAAATGCTTTTTTCATCAGACTTTGTTTTTGTTTTTTTTGGCCTGTAGAATTTGAAAGTCATTTGATTTGTTTACCTTAAATCAACTAAAACATTCACTGTACAATTGATTGTTGTTCTACAATAAAATAAAGGTGGTCTCTACAGTAATTTCATTTTCAGTGGTCCATTTTGTTTTCTTTTGTCTACAATTTGTTGCGAGTTAGATCCGGCGGAGGGGGTGGAATAAGAATCATGTCATGTACTTTTTCACGTGAAGAAACTATCGAATAGATAACAAAAGTTGGTTGGTTGTCCTCGAGCACAGGACTCGTGATGACGTCATCCCGTTGACAACCTGAATAGTTCACAAGCAATGGAATGTGTTTATATGATGTAGTATTGAGCTTTTAGTTTTCTAAAGTGTAACTGCTTTGTAAAGATAAAAATTATGTTTAAACATGTTTTTTTCATTAATTTGTATCCAATTTATTGAAATTGTCAAAACCATTGTCCGGAAGCGTAGTAGTTTGTTCATGTTGCGATATTATTGAGGGAAAAAAAGATATTTGAAAACCACTGAATCTTATTTGTGTAAATTTTGTTTATTAAAATGTTTATACAGTTATTGTTTCAAAGCTACTAATTGTTCCATTTCAAGTATAAATAAAATGTTCGCCAAGTTTTGTGTTGCTTATTTACTTTAAAAAATAAGTTTCTGTTCGAAATTTGTCTGTTTGAAGCTGATGAAGATTTGGCTTATCCAGTTATTCTGAAATGCCTCTGTATGATCAGAAATGAATAACATAATGCCTTCGCTACTGACTGCAAAAATAATTTGTAAAGCCTACCTAAGAAATAAAAACACGACATATATTAGCATCGTCTCTCGTGGTGTCTTTTGGTGGCGTACCGGAAGCATTCTGTTTTGCATATTAGGTCAAATGTCAAGGTCACATGTAGAGATCAGTGAAAAACGATAGCTTCTACTTGAATTATTTTATATTATAATAATTTAATTTAATTGGGCACAAATGTTCACCATTGGTCACGGAGGTCAAAGGCCAGATAAAGGTATGAAAACGTGTGTGTGGACAATTTGGTAGTCTTAGCAATGTTCATAATCACGAGACTCGAGTATTGCCAACATATTACGATCAAGGGCATCGGATATGATGAAATGTCCAGAATTTCCAGAGCTGCATAGATGGATTTTGTATTATTTTATACAGTATAAATTTTCACCACAATAAGACTTAGAGTCATGTAGCCAAATCCGGTCTAGAAGGTGAAGGTAGAAGTCACACAGGAATAAAATTGAGCAAACTTTTGAAAGGTCGTAAGGGAAAATATATTGAAGGTCCTTTCAGAAACTGTAAAGGTAAAGTCACTTATATTACAGATACTTATGTAGTTAACGTATCTTAAAAACACTTCTCCAGATACATGTATCATCACACTGCAGTTCTCTCAAACATGCTCTGGGAACCAAAATTTGGCCCTGCCCTGGGGTCACTTTGTTAAAGATTTTTATTCTAAGTAAAAAGCATTTAAGCCTACTTGCTTTAAACTTCAATGTTTAGAGCTTAACATTTGACATGTATCGTTGCCTAGTGGACTCCTAGAATATATATATTGGACATGCCCCTTGGATTGTTTAGAGCAGTATTTAAACTTACATGGTAAAACATATCTTAATATCTTCCCCGTAACAACAATCACCAGGGGAGCATCACGTTTGCATGTGACATCACCTCAGCACCGTCTTGATGTCCTCTGCAAACGTTTTATGAATTATTGGAGTTTCAATTACCCGGCTCTGGGGAACACTGTTTATTTGATGAGTTACAAAATAGCTTAAAATAGGTTAAATAGCTCTATTTTAACGGTAGTTTGCATATATGATCCGAGGTGATAGACGAGGATTATATTGCAAATAACCGTTTATAAAGGTATTTTTCCTGTCAAGAATCTTTACAAGTAAAATGGTTTCCTGCGGGGAACCTTTTTTAATGATATAAAGATATTTCATTTAACTATTTTCAACATTGTTTAGGGGGATAAATAAACGTTTGTATTAGGAATATAGCTAACAATAATCGATCAATATAGAAGAAGTTCTTTGGAAACTGGTAACCGTTGAAGACCGGAGAAGGCCGAACATAAACAATTATTTCTTTTTAAGAAAATGATTAAATATGCCTACCATTTTATGACTTATTCCGAGCAAAAGAAATAATTTAAACACACAAGTTTACTTAGAAAATGTCTCTATTTATTATGCCAGATGCCACTACGAATATTTTAATTGTGTATATTTTCAGTATTATAAACAATTTATTGTTTGTAAAATTTGAGATAGATATTAAAGAAACATTGAAATTTTCAAACACATCATTCAAGTTTTTCCACCTTAAACTGTAAAATAATTATAGAAAATTAGAAAAGAAATACAACGTAATCGTTTTTTGTTCTTAATTAGGGTCATTATGACCCTAGAGGTTAATCCGTAACGTACCGGCGCACGGTATTTAGCTAAGTTTTCGAAAAGGTCAATTAACCAATCATATACGGTTTACAGATCACATGCTCCTCCATGTACCGAAAACAGGTCACGTGCTCCTCCATGCCTCAAAAGTTAAACGCGTACCAATACCCTGCGGTCTCCAGACCGCAGGGAATAATGTATCAATAATACAGCACTATTCCTTTATTTAAGAAAAAAACTTATTGATTGACAATATATATATATCGTTTTGTTTTTGCATTGATTTCTTTTGTAACTGCACCTCTATAAGTGATGGTTTAGACATAATTACTTGTTTTTGTTTTTTGTTACAGTTGAAACTCTTTAATTAGTTATTTACTTCACAATACTTTGAAATATATAAGACATGCATATGATAGCAAATTGCATAATATAAATGACAAAGTCACCATTTACATGGATACATGTATGTATATGTTTATATATCTTGAGCTTTTGTTGTAACTTGTAACAAGTTTTTAGCTCACCTGTCACAAAGTGACAGGGTGAGCTTTTGTGATCGCTTTTCGTCCGGCGTCCGGCCGTCCGTCGTCCGTCCGTAAACTTTTACTTTAAATGACATCTCCTCATAAACCACTTAGCCAATTTCATCCAAACTTCACAGGAATGTTCCTTTGGTGGTCACCTTTAAAAATTGTTCAAAGAATTTAATTCCATGTAGAAATCTTGTTGCCATGGCAACCGAAAGAAAAAACTTTAAATATCTTCTTTTAAAAAACCATAAGAGCTAGAGCTTAGATATTTGGCATGAAACATCTTCTAGTGAGTGTCTACCAAGTTTGTTCAAATAAAAGCCCTGGGGTCAAAATTGGCCCCGCCCCGGGGGGTCATTGATTTTCCCTATATGCATATAGTAAAAACTTAAAAAAATCTTCTTTTTAAGAACCCAAAGAGCTAGAGCTAATATATTTAGCATGAAATATGTTCTAATGAGTGTCTACCAAGTTTGTTCAAATAAAAGCCCTGGGGTCAAAATTGGCCCCGCCCCGGGGGGTCATTGATTTTCCCTATATGCATATAGTAAAAACTTAAAAAATCTTCTTTTAAAGAACTCAAAGAGCTATGGCTAAGATATTGAGCAGCAAACATGTTCTAATAGGTGTCTACCAAGTTTGTTCAAATAAAAGCCCTGGGGTCAAAAATGGCACCGCCCCGGGGGACATTGATTTTCCTTATATGTGTATAGCAAAAACTTAAAAAATCTTCTTTGAAAAAACCCAAATAGCTAGAGTTAAGATATTAAGCATGAAACATCTTTTAGTGAGTGTCTACAAAGTTTGTTCAAATAAAAGACCTGGGGTCAAAATTGGCCCCGTCCCGGGGGTCATTGATTTTCTTTATATGTGTATAGCAAAAACTTAAAATCTTCTTTGAAAAAACCCAAATAGCTAGAGTTTAGATATTAAGCATGAAACATCTTCTAGTAAGTGTCTACAAAGTTTGTTCAAATAAAAGCCCTGGCCCGGCCCCAGGGGTGTCATTGTTTTTAACTATATGTGTATAGTAAAAACTTTAAAAAAATCTTCTTTTAAAAAGCCCAATGAGCTAGAGCTTAGATGTTTAGCATGAAACATCTTCTTATGGGTGTCTACCAAGTTTGTGCAAATAAAAGCCCTTGGGTTAAATTGGCCCTGCAACGTTTGGGGGTGGGGGTTGGGGGGCCTATATACAGGTGAGCGACCTCAGGGCCATCGTGGCCCTCTTTTTTGTGTGTATAATGTAGATTAAGGAGGAGAGTTGCTTGATAAAGTTGTCTGCATTATTAATATGATAATTATGTAGCCATCAACCTGCTTGAATCATAGCTAATTAGCACTTGCCACCAGTATAGAGCCAGGCCAGCCTGCACATACGTGCAGTCTGACCAGGCTCTATACCATTGGCTGATGAACTTCATATCTGCATTTTGATATCCCCAAAAACTGAAAATGACAGTTACAAAAAAATGAAGGTGTACAATTAAGTAATTTAAGAGTTAATGGTTAAACAATATTATTATCAGTTAATGCGATATTATTATCAGTTAATATGGTAATGTTATCATACAATAATATTATCGGATTATACGTTCATGCTTGGTATATCATTTTGTTGTTAGCCTGCAGATTATTATGATTTTACTGTTGTTGTTTATTGTTGATTAAAGCATCATAGTGCTGTTTCAGGCTGTTACCATGGGTTTTAATTATAGCATAAATGTTTGTTAGTGTCACATTTATAACTTTCATTTTTTGAACTTTTCTTGTATCTGGTTAACCCTGTTGGATTATATGAGGATAAAGAAAGGTCAATTATAACATTTAAATGTCATGATTTCTAGGGGATAAAAACTAAGTATGGTGTTTTCTAACCATTAGCTGTTTATATTTAATTTTTATTGCTTTATAACTTGCTGCCCACAAAACAGGTATACCACTTTCAATACAGAGCACCTGGTTTGCTTATAAATGGGGGATATTCCTGTGAAAAGGTTTATCTGATTTATTGTATTTTGGTGTGAGTTCATGTTAACAAATGATGTTTACATTGTACATTTTCTTTTATATAAAAGAATATATTAAAAACCTCCAACCTTTCACTTATTTACTTCAAACATTATGTAAATTGTTGAAATTTTTAGTTTATATGCATTGATTAAGAAACAAGACAGGCGAGAGCAAAAGGGTTAATATTTGATTATCCTGTTTAAGAATTAAAGAAATATTGGCAGAAATATATAGCCAATGTGCCTTGATAAGTACATGTACTTTACACCATTTTTTTCGTGGTTTGTCATTTGAAAGCTTAAATTTTCTGAATTTCATCTAGCTAATGAGAAAGAAAACTCATTGAGTTTGATTGATTGATAAGGACTGGGATTGATACAGGACTGGGATTATCAAAGGTTTGATTGATACAGCACTAGGGTTATCAAGGGTTAATTTGATACAGGGCTCCTATGGTTTTGATTGATGTAGTACTGGGATTATCAAGGTTTTGTTTAACATTGCTTTATTTTGTTTGATAATGTTATGTATGTTTTAGATACCAATGCATATTTCATTGAGTGTTTCTTGAGTAGATTTTATTGATACTTTATCAAATTTTAAGGTCTGACTGAGAGAAAATAGAAAGTATGGGGTATCTACCTAATTG